CTTGCCTAGCTTGTGAGGCACTGGGTCCAATTCTCAGCACCACATAAAAATGTATAAATAAAATAAAGGTATTGTGTCCACCTACAACTAAAAGTTTAAAAAAAAATGGGCGCTGGGTTTGTTGCTCAGCAGTAGAGCACTCACCTAGCACGTGCAAGGAACTGGGTTCGATCCTTAGCACCATGTAAAAATCATGTAAAAATAAATAAATAAAATGAAGATATTTTTTCCAACTACAACTAAAAAAAAATTTTTTTTTAAAAAATCACTTAAGATATAAAGAAATCTAGGATTTGAACGTAGTAGTTTATGTTACATTGAAACCCATGGTTTTAATCAGATATTATTTTGTATGTGATAAAGGCTTGAGTTTTTGTGGGAATACTTTATATTCACCATTTATTTTATAATCATGTTGAAAATAAAAATCAAGAGGATACTTCCACATCTAACAGGTTGAGGGTATTTCTAGCTTATGTGACAATAGTATTTTTAGCTTACATAAAATATATGAATAAGTAATACCTTCCTTTTTGTTTTTGTTTTTTTTCTTCTCCAGAGGATAAAGCTCCTACTTCCTCCCTTTTAGTTCATAAGCTTATTTTTCAGTACATAGAGGAGCAGGAATCCTGGAAGAAGAAGTGTACAACACAGCATCAGGTACCCAAGGTAAAGTTTGATTGAAGTATATAAAGGAAAACTTGCAAACTCTGTCCCACAAAGCAGAATTGAAATTATAAATATATAATAGAATCTGAAATTATATATTCAATTATTTAACTTTTTGAGTTCTTTGTAGCAGTCATTGAACATTGAAATCTTTTTTTTTAATTTTTTTAGATGCTTCAAGAACTCTCACCAATAGTAAACAATTGCAGACTCCTTGGAGAAGAGATTGAGTTTTTAAAGAAATGGGGACCAAATTATAATCTAATGGACATAGATGTGAATAATACTGAGTAAGTGTATTATTTCCCTGGGCAGCTCTTACAAAGTACTACAAATTGGATGGCTTAAATAAAAGAAATTTATTATCTCAAAGTTGAGGATAGAAGTCTAAAATCAGAGTATTACTCAGGTTCTTTCTAAGGGTTGAGAGAGAGAATCTTTTCCATGCCTTTCTCCCAATTTCTGATGGTCGTCTGGCAATTTTTGATATTCCTTGACTTTTAAATGTCCAAACTCTGATCCCTGGCCTTTATCCTCACATGGTATTCTTTCGGTGTCCAAATTTCCCTTTTTTATAACAATACCAGTCAGATTAGGGCCTGACCTACTCTAATAGAACCTTATCTTAAATTTGCAATTACCTGATTTCCAAATAAGATCACATTTTAGGTATAGGGGTTAGGACTTCAGCATATGAATTTTGGGGAATATATTTCAACCTATAACAACAAATAATTAGTCAAGAACTTATTAAAATAATTGTGTTTGTTTTTTGTATAACTAGGGATTGAACACAAGTACATCACACATGCTAGACAAGTGCTTTGCCACTGAGCTCTATCCCCAACCATAAAATATTTATTATTGTGTTTCCTGACTAACAGTGAAAAAAGAACCATTTTAATACCTTGCTCCAGGTGTTTTACTTGATAAGGATAAGATAAATCCATTTGATAAGGACAAGAAATAAGGTGTGCCTAAATTTCATATGCCAGTCTACATGGAAAAAATATGTTTGTATTTCAGTATATATTTTTAATTGTGGGTCTTGTTTTTTAACAGATTGAAGCTTTTATTCTCCAGCTCTGTAGCATTTGCAAAGTTTGCGGTAACTTTGTCTCTCTCAGCCCATTATCCATTAGTCCCATTACCTTTCACCATTCAGAATCACCTTGGAAACACTAGGTAAGTAAAGGGCCAGCAGGATAAGACTCCCAGCTACCTTTTTACCTTTGTTATCTCTCAAAGTCATCATCATCAAGGGTAGTGAGAACTAAATGTCACTTCTTTGTGATTTCATTTCGGAGGGTTTATTCTTTTAATTTCAGTGACCTTAATTACTATCTCCAGTAGATGCTGGAGTCCATTAATGTATTCATTCATACCTTCTTCCACTTTTTTTTTTTTTTTTTCATATCAGGTATTGGACTCAGGGGCATCTGACCACTGAGCCACATCCCTGGCCCTATTTTGTATTTTATTTAGAGCCTTAGTAAGTTGCTGAGGCTGATTTTGAACTCTGAATCAATCCTCCTGCCTCAGCCTCCCGAGCCACTGGAATTACAGTTGTGTATCACCACTTCTTCACTTTTGAACCCTCCTACCTAAAACAATAATCTATAAGGAAAAAAAATTCTACATAGTTTTAGCCCAGATCATATGTCAACAATTTTTTTGTCCTTAAAAATAACAATCACTTGAAAAAGCTGTGTTTTCATAACACTATTCTCAATTCGTCTGTGGAAGCAGACCTGTAAATGTCTTATTCTTAGTAGGTTGTGATCTATTTTGTGACTTTTTTTAGACACACTGCTGACAGACTGGGAGAAGACAGAATTTAAATCCATCAGCAAACACTAATAGTTTAGAATTTTATTTAAAGAAAACAACTAGATCAGGATAGCTTACAATTACATATAGAATTAGTTCTCAGGCTTTGTTTCACAATCGCATTTCAACTTCTCAGTCTGCTTATTTAACGAAATACCCATTTGTGCTTCTTGGGAAACTAAGAAACTTTATCCAAGAACATGAGTAGCACCGAAATGAAGACAAATATAAATTTCCAGAAAATGAATTAACCTTTTGTTTTTCTGTAGCCAAGATGAAATTGCTGCCGTTATATATAAAGTGCCATTAGCGGACAACTACCTGAAGAATATTGTCAAGCAAATTTACCAAGATCTACTTCAGGGCTGCCATTTCTACTGCTAGACCCATGGACCACAGCTGTAACAACCAAGCAAGAATTCACTTGATACTGTGTCATGGTCTCTATTGTCATTTAACTTTACCTTTAGGTCATAGTAAAATTCCTTTTGATGATGTAATAGTAAATTTATATGGTCTGTTTTTAAATCTGTACAATTAGAAATGATAAAAGCTTTCATATAGCTTTGTCAGGATGCTCGTCTTTATACCGAAGGTATAATAGGGAACTTAGGGAAATTTTCCCTTAACTAAAGTTGTGCTATCTGCTTTAGTATAACAATAAGAAATAACTTAAGAGGCATTCACTGATAAAACTAAGCTGTTCCCTATGTATAGAGCTATTAGGTAGTCTGGCTTCTTCCTAGCAGATATTGCTAGATTTAGAAATATGTCTGTCAACAGCTTGGTATGGTGCTATGCTTTTGTAATCTCAGCTATTCAGGAAGGTGAGGTGGGAGGATCACTTGAACCCACAAGTTTAAGTCCAGCCTGAACAACATAGCAAGATCCTATCTCAACAGCAACAAAAAATAAACATGTCTGTCTACAAACTATTCATCCTCCTTTTTCTCCATTTCAGAAATGATATGAAGAGAAAGCATTAGCACTCTTGGACTGGTTGCTATCTTTTCTTGGGGCCTTGCCCTTTATTCTATAGTGTCTATTAAAATTAATTCATTTTGACCAAGTACATGTATATAAATATATTAATGTTGTTTTTGTTTGTGATATAATGTTTGCCTTCTGCCTAAGTATATGAAGCATTTTCAGCAAGATTTTCAATCTTCTTTTATTAAATAATGAGATTTAAAACTATCATATCCAAAACTCTAGTTTCTGGTAGTAATAGTAAACTTTCCTGAAGCCACACAGTCCTCATACACAAAAATTAGAATATCCATTATTAAATGACCAGTATTATCTATGAAAGAACATTCACCCACACTTTAGTCAAATCCGAATCATGATAATTTACATTTTCTGTGTTGAATTCTAAATTAAAATATTTGTATTTTTAAACAAATTTGTGTTAACATTTTGCTTTTTAATTTAAGAGAAGGTTAAAGTCCTGTGGGTCTGTGTATCTGTCCTCTTCACTGGTTTTTTTTTTTACTTTTAATCAAAAGATTACCTGATTTTTAGCTTCAAAAGTCAACACAAATGCTGTGCGTGGTAACAGATACTGGTAATCCTAGTGATTTGGGAGGCTGAGGCAGGAGGATTACAAATTGGGGGCAGCCCCAACATTGTAGCTTGGCTCTAAGCAACTTAAAAAGACTCTGTCTCAAATAAAAAGGGTGGGATGTGGATCAGTGGTTAAGCCCCCTTGGGTTCAATTCCCAGTATCCCTACCCACAGAAAAAAACAACAAAGTCAAACAAAACTCATCTGGCATAAAAATCAAGACAGATGTTCCCTATTTCCATAAATTTCTTTAAAAACTTTTAAATTATCAGTTTTTTTCTTATTGGAGTTTTGTTTTTCCTGTATGTCTAATAATTAGAAGTTTGTTTTATTCATTTTGGTAACTGCAACAACCCATTCTAAGAATGATTTGACTTGTAATGATGATCTCTGCTTTCTTGGGTTTCAAGTACATAATTATATTTATGTAGGTATTTGTGTTTTTCTTTGTTCGAACTTGGCTATTTTCATAAAATTTTTTGTTTTACTGATTTGAAAGCTGATTGTTTTTGCACTATTAAAATAAGTTTATTATTTGAAATCTTTTGAAATTAAGTAATGTCTCTTTATTAACTGTATTTTACCATATATCCAGTAGGTCTTTTAAGATATACCAAAGTGATTCAGGAGGCTGAGACAAGAGGATCACATGTTTGAAGCCAGTCTCAGTCAGCAATAGCAACCTGCCTCAAAAAAAAAAAAGAAAAAAGTTTAGAGGGAATACCAAGCCATCTGCATACACTCATCTAACTGAAAACAGACAGAATTAAAATATGTAAGAACCAAGTAAAACCACAGCTATCTTTGTATCTCTAATGAACAGTAAAAGAAAAGTGGGGGCTGGGAGTATCGCTTACTAGCAGAGCACGTGCAAGGTCCTGGATTCAATCCCAGGGTAAAAAAAAAAAAAAGGCTTCTTAGGAAGCTAACATCTATGAGCTAATGCAATGATTCCCAAAATCATGGTTCCCAGATCAGCAAACCTACTGAATCGGAAAACCAGATAAAGGGGCCAATAATCTGTAGGTTTTATATTTTCTCAACTTTTTTAACTTGGGAGGCTCAGAGCGCCAGTTAAGATCAAAGATTCACATTTCGACGCTGCAGGAAACAGTCTCGAGCCACACCTTTTTCCAAAGCCGCCAGTATCGCTAGCCGAAACTTCCGCAGCGGTGCATACTGGGAGATGTAGTTCCAGACCTGTCGTACCATTTCTTGGGACTTGTAGTCCTCTATCTGGGAAGAAAGCGACAACTCGCAAAGTTTAAACCAGTCCTTGAGGAGAAAGGGAAGAGCGTAATCCGCAGTATCACTCGCGCTCAAATTCTTTGGGCCCATCTCTATGCTCGCGACCAAAGGTGGAAGAGACTAAAATGCGGGTGCGAGAGGGGCGGGGCGACGTCACGTCGACGCGGACGTGACCCTGCCCGAGAATCTTTGGCGGGATTTCTGAAAGTCGCGGGCCGAAGTGCGGCTGGAGAGCCAGTGCTGAGGTGACTGAGGCGCCTTCCGAAACGCGTAGTTGGGTCCTGAAACTTGCTTGGGTTGTGCACAGTAAGCCGACAACCGGGTCGAGAAGTGGAGCGCGCGCTAGACCAGTGGACTGAAGTCGGAGCGCTTGCTCTGCCTCACCTAGCAGCACTGCAGACCCAGGTGAGTTTTAGGCATAGTTCGGTCTCCTTTCCAGAGCCGGGGCTTGTCCTATAGTTAGCGGCGTCCTGACCCGGCCCGTGCTCCCGCTGCGGGCTCTAGGGGCCCCTCCGCGCCAACTGAGAAACCCGAAGATGGCGGGGAGGGACTTGCCCGGGCCTAACTGACCCTCAGAGCTCGTTGTAGAGCAAAAAAAAAATCTATCCCAGGTGTTTAGTGCTTCAAACCCGGCGTTCATCTGATGGACTTTTGAGGAAGCCTAGATCCAGAGAGTGGTAGTCAGACCTAATTAATGTTACAGTCAAGGTTTCTGAATTCCTGGAACCTGGTTTTGCCTACAAAGTACCAACCTACAACTGCCCATATTAGATGATGTTTCCCATCATCTAATATGGGAAACCTTTCATGGTTCACGTAATGCCTAGGGAATGACCCGAATGAAGTTTGGGTTTTGTTTTTTAAATTTCTAAAGGGATATGTTTGTGTGTGTATAAATCATAAGTGTACGCAATTCCGTGAATTAATACAAAATGAATATGTAATTACCACTCAGGTCAAGACATAGAATGCTGGCTCCGGGTATATAGCTCAGTGGCAGATGGCTCATCCCAGCAGTACTCAAGTCCTGGATTAATTCCCAGCCCCGCGCAAAAAAAAAAAAAAAAAGCACCCCAGAAGCCTGCCTTGAACCTCCTTGTGTTATATTTGACTTCTAACACCATTGACTAACTTGGCCTGTTTTTTTTAATACATCAACAGCATACAATGTTGTTTTTCTACATGCTCGTCAAATGTCAGTATTTGTATTTTTAATTTTCCGCTCTTCTGGTGGGTATAATATCTCATTGTGGTTTTAATTTTCCTGATTACTGAAAAGGTTGAGCTTTTTGTTCATGTGTTTTTTGGACATTTGGGTATCTTCTACTGCGAAATACTTGTTCGCATCTTTTGCCTATTTTTCTCTTGGGTTTTCTGTTTTTTCCTTACTGATTTGAAGGGGTTCTGTTTATTCTGGTTATCAATCTATGTGGTAAATAGTTTCTACTGTGACTGACTTTTTTTTTCATGCTATTATGTGGTTTCTTTTGATGAATAGACGTTCTGATTTAAATATAGTCCAGTTTTGTAGTCTTCTTTTTCCTTTTTAGTTGTTGCATTACTTACCCAATTCAAGAAATCGTTATCTAGCCTAAGGTTGTGAAAATATTCTTATATTCTGAAAACTTTCTTTTACCTCTTATATTTAAGTATAAAATCTAAATTGGAAATCTGTTTTTCCCCTTGTGTGAGAGATGTGTCAAGTTCATTTTATTCTATAAGGCTATCTACTCAACACAGCACTCACTACTTATTAAACAGACCATCTTTCCCCATTATTCTGCAATCTTTTTCATAAATAAAAGAAAATACTGACATGTATTCCTGTGATTCTGATATGAAATTATCATCAATTCACAGTTTATTAAATTTTCCACCTGAGAGAGATGGACCTAAACCAGTTAATAACAAATGGTCATCCTGTCTTCTGTCAAGTCTTCCAAGAGTAGAGTTCCTATTATCTTTGGGGTTAAATTTGTCCTCACATGTGTCCAGATTCTTTCTCTTCTCATCTCTTCTCTTCCTCCCTCTGGAGGTTCTCTACCACTGAACTACATTTCCCAGCCCTTGTCCAGATTTTTTTGATGTGACCGCCACCACTACTAGTGATTGAACCCAGGGGCACCCTATCACTGAGCTACATCCCCATCCCTTTTAATTTTGAGATAAGGTCTCAGTTGCTCAGGCTAGCCTCAAACTTGAGATCCTCTTGCCTCAGCCTCCCAAATTGCTGGGATTATAGCACCCAGTTTTTTATATAAATTGAAGTCCACTTATTACTGTGAACATAAGACTTTTACACTTTCATTAATATACCTTGAAGATAATTTGATGTTTTTTGTTCTTAGTTCTTTTTGAGCTGAGTATATAACTATGATAATAGCCTTACATGTGGTGTGGTGGTGCTCAGCTATAATCTCAACTACTTAGAAGGCTGAATCAATCCATAGTTGGTTAAATCCTCAATGTAGAACACCAATAGGGAGGGCCAACAGTAATTCTTCAGAGATTAGTTGCAAAACTAACTTTAAGGCTCTTTCCTTACTCCCATAGTAGTTCTTTAGTGTTCATATTGTTGGCCATCTGTTTTTTTTGTTTGTTTGTTTCAGTAATGGCTATGCAGATGCAGCTTGAAGCAAACGCAGATACTTCAGTTGAAGAAGAAAGCTTTGGCCCACAACCTGTTTCACGGTTAGAGGTATGTTCATAGTTACTAATTTTTTAATTATGATGCTGTACTAGATTCTCCCTAATGGGGGATAGCAACCTTTACTTAAACTGTAGGTTTATTCCTTGGTAAAAACCCAAAGAGTTTTCAGAGGTTGTCAAGAATACTGTGGAGCCTGGTGTGGTAGAGCAGCATGCCTGTAATCCCAGCAATTTAGCAAGACCCTGTCTCAAAATTTAAAAATAAAAGGGGCTGGGGATGTGACTCAGTGGTTATGGGTTCAATCCCCAGTACCCACACCCTCACCCCAAAAAAAAAATAATGTAGAAAGGTTTGATATTATTGCTAAACATATCAGGCCAAGACTTTTCTTTTGTCAACACTTCTCTTCGTATTGTTTTTCTTTCTCAGAGCTGGATTTTCTTAAATAGGCTAGGGTCCTATGGTGGATTAAGTATGCTTGCACTAAGTATGAAGATGTTGTCCAGGAACTATGGTGGCCTGGACTGGTTATGCAGGGAGGAAGAGGGAGCCACTTCCCTCTGTTCACCCAGATCGCTGCTGAAGTTACTGTGCTATCATAGACAGGAAGAAAGTGTGGGATTGTTAAGGTATAAGAGCCAAACTCAAATTTGTGACCCTGCCTAAGAATAGCAAGCACCAGAACTGGGGCTTTGCAGTATTTTGGCCTGTTGTAACTGATTTGAGTTGAAAGAAGTGAGAGGGAAAGCTTTTGATTTTTCTATTTCCTTTTGCTTAATTCTCCCATTTCCAACTAAGCTTCAAGACTCTAGAGGTTACTTAAATTGGTTTCTGATAAACATTTGAGAATTCAGAGTCATAATTTTTGGTGCCATGAGCATCCTTATACTTCCACATAGGTATTGGTTTCTGTTGGCAAATACTAATCTTTCCCTTCTCTTAAAGCCTCACTGAACCCCACATATATGCATATCTGTCCACTAATTCATGTTCTCTCAGAGACCATAGTTTTGGTGGCTAATAATACCAAACCTAACTTTGTAAATAGGGAGAAATAAGTGCCTTTTGGTGGTTCACTTTGAGAAGTAGCATAAAAAATAGTCATGTTTAGTAACCAAAACTAGTTTTGCCCATTCTTTTTTTTATGATCCCATTTATTTAAAAATAAATATTCATTTACATATGCATAATGTCTTCTGAGAATTACACAAGAAACTAATAGAGGTTACCTCTTGCGAACAGCAGTACTTATGATAAGATGCCAGGAGAAAGACTTCATTTTATAGCTCTTTTTTTTTTGTGTGTGTGTGTGTGTATTGTTAGGGATTGAACCCAGGGTCTTATGCATGCAAGGCAAGCACTCGATTTATAGCTTTATATTCTGTTCTGAATATTTTTACCATGTTGGGGGGGGACAACTAAGGATTGAACCCAGGTATACTTAGCCACTGAATCATATCCCAACCCTTTTTATTTTTGAGACAGGGTCTTGCTAAATTGCTGAGGCTGGCCTCAGGCTTGCAATTCTCCTGCTTCAGTCTCGTGAGTTGCTGGGATTATAGGCCTGTGTCACCATGCCAGGCCCATTCCTAGTCTTTTGAGGAACCGCCATAGTAATTTACAATTCCACCAACAATGTAAAACTTCCTTTTCCCCACATCTTTTCTAGCATTATTCCTTTTTTCTTCTTTTCTTAGACTGAGGATTGAATCTTTGGGGGATGCTCTGCCATGAGCTATATCCCTAGGCCCTTTAATATTTCTGTTTCAAGACAGAGTCTTCTAAATTGGTTAGAAACTTCCTGAGGCTCGACTCAAACTTGTCAGTCTCCCAAGTTTCTAGGATTAAAGGTGTGCCTCCACAGATGGCTCCCATATTTATTCTTGTTTATGTTCTTGGTGGTTGCCTAGTGCTAGTTTAAACACTGGTTTTGATAATGAAAAAGTTGATAATTTGTAATTTGATAGCTCATATGTGGGTCACACTTCTCAGGTCTTTTGTATAAATTATATTACTTTAAATACCTCTGAATTAAGCCGGGCCTGATGGTGCATACATGTAATCCCAGAAGCTCCAAAAGCTGAGGCAGGAGGATTGTGAATTCAAAGCCAACCTCGGCAACTTATCGAGGCCCTAATCTACTCAGTGAGACCCTAAGGTTAAGCCCCTGAGGGCTGGGGTTGTGGCTAAGCCCCCCTGGGTTTTATCCCTGATACAAGTGGGGGGAAATCCTCTGAATTAGATAGGTTACATATTAAACAAGTGAGAGATCTGAAACTTAAATATGATTTTATTTGCAGCAATGTGGCATAAATGCCAATGATGTGAAGAAATTAGAAGAAGCTGGCTTCCATACTGTGGAGGCTGTTGCCTATGCACCAAAGAAGGAATTAATAAATATTAAAGGAATTAGTGAAGCCAAAGCTGATAAAATTCTGGTAAGTTCAGCTCTGTGATCTAGGAAGGCATTAGTGGGAATAGTACAAAAGAGTAAATAAATAGTGAAAGATAGTCTTCCTCCTTCCATCCTCCTCCTTCCCCTATGATCCTGGTCCCCTTTCCAGAAGAGACTGTGTCCAGTTGCTTACCTTGGTATTTTCCTCTTGTGTAAATTTCAATATTATGAAATTAGATTTAAATGCTACTAAATTAACTATGAATTTATACTCCCACCAGAAATGACTGGTGTGTAATATATATCTTTTTTATTAATAAAATGTTTTTTATATAAGGAAAGTGAACAAAATATATATATTTGATATTTTTTGTCAAATGTATTTATAAATTTATGTATAGAACATATACTGGGGATAAATATACTAAAATATTTACATTGTTATTTCTGGTTGGTAAGAATATGAGCAATTTTGTGTGTTGGTAAATACATGTCCTAGGAATTAAACCCAGGGCTTTACTTAGCCTAAACATGTTCCCTACTACTAACACTATACCCTAGCCAATTTTTTTGCCTCAATTTTCTGAAGCCTCTATGTTTTCTTTAATGAGAATCTTTCATTTTATATAGATGAGATTTTTAATAACAGAGAATGTGATTTCAAATCGAGTTTATTTTTTTTACTGTGATATAAAAGTGATTTTACTGGCTTAACTGAATATGAAGTGTTAATTTAATAATCCCTTTTTTAACAGCACTTTAGTTTTTGAAATCCCTTCTCTTTCACATATATTCTCATTTTGCCTTTATAAGAATACTAAGAATGATAAGTAGGGTCAATATTCCTGCTTTGTAGATAAGGAAGCTTAAACACAGAGGTTTAATTATTGAATCAAGGTCATGCAGAGGATAGCAGAACTAATACCAGAACCCAGATATTTTATTTTATTGTACTCTAACCCTTCCTCATCTGCATTTTATTGTATATTTTTAAAATATGTGTATATATGCACATATATATAATGTTAAATTGTAGGTAGACACAATACCTTTATTTTATTTATTTTATTTATTTATCTTTTTATGTAGTGCTAAGGATCAAACCCAGGGCCTCACACGTGATAGCCAAGTGCTCTACCACTGAGCCAGAACCCAACCCTTATCGTATATTCTTACACTAAGAGCTTTTATGTTTTTAAACACTGGTAAGATATTAATCTAGATATTTATTTAGTCTCAGTTTGTAAAATTTACAGTGCTAAAAAACCCTAAGTAATTCCTAATGTAAGTGATAAGAGTGAAGATGTTGCTGTCTATGTGAGTATGAAATCATTTATTGGGTTACTTAATTAAATGTTTATTGAAGTGGTGGCTTAATTGTAAATAAGAATTCTGAGGGCTGGAGTTGTGGCTCAGTGCCTAGCATTCATGGGCTGGGTTCAATCCTCGGCACCACATAAATGTAAAATAAAGATATTGTGTCCACCTAAAAAAATAAAATATAAAAATATATATTTATATATATAAAAAGAATTCTGAGGGCTGGGATTGTGGCTCAGTGGTAGAGCTCTTGTCTAGCATGCAGGAAGCAGTGGGTTTGATCCTCAGAACCACATTCAAAAAATAAAATTATTATGTCTATCTACAACTTAAAAAAAAATTCTGAGTTTCTAATACTTTTGTTAAAAGATTGATTTGGGCTGGGGATATGGCTCAGTGGTAGAACATTTACCTAGCATGTATTCTGCACGGATTCAATCCCTAGCACCATGAAAAGAAGATAAAGGCGTACTGTGATTTTGACTAATGCCAACAGGGGTTCCCAAAGTCTATATGTTCAGTTTTCATGACTGAACAAAAGCTGACAGGGTCTTCACTTATGCAGTGTCATATCTTAGTTTTAGGAATGATATCAGTTCTCTGCTTCTGGGAACACATAAATGTAAATCTAAAATAAGTAAATTGAGATATGCAAAATGATATAGAAAGGGATTTGATTTCAGATATTTTATGTTGTGAATTCCTGGATGCTAAGGATCTACAACTTAAAAAAAAAATTCATTTGAATTTGACAGTAGAAACCTTTGAAAGACAGCATTGGTATCGTTGGTATCTTAGAGAAGACTTGTAGTTCTAGCACTTAGATCACAGACTTTCCAGGTAAGGGTTATTATTTGGTTGATTTAACATTCCTTAATTTTCTCAGGCTGAGGCAGCTAAATTAGTTCCAATGGGTTTCACCACTGCCACTGAATTTCATCAAAGGCGATCAGAGATCATACAGATTACTACTGGCTCCAAAGAGCTTGACAAACTACTTCAAGGTAATATGAATTCTTTAACCCATGTTGTAAACTGATTAGCAAAGTGTGCAAGTTAAAGGAACAAAACTGAAATATTTAAGCATGATTTACATGTTAGATATGATTAAGAGTTAAGGGAAGTACACACATTGAAGAATTAAGACTGCTAGGTGTTCAGTCAGATAAAATGAGAAGTTGTGCTCCATTTGTGTACAATGAGTTGAAATGCCTTTTGCTGTCATGTATAACTAATTAGGACAAATAAAAAATTAAAAAAAAAAAAACTTTTGGGGTTGGAATTTGACTTATAAAATACTAAAATTATCTTTTGTTTGTATTTTTATGCAGTGCTGAGGATCCAACCCAGTGCTTCCCATGTGTAGGCAAGCTCTCTATCACTGAGCTACACTTCCAGCCCCTAAAATTATCTTCAAGTTAAATAATTTAATACTTCATTGAGACAATAAACTTCCTCTGCTTAAGGAATAAAACTAGTTATGATCTACTCTACCACAAGGTTGAAAGTTTGCTGACTAAAAATCGCCTTTGTACTTAGGTATGGGTGGTGATGGGAATTGAACGTAGGTCCTCGTATGTTCTACCATTGAACTATACTCCCATTCCCAAAGTACTCTGTTTGAATACTAATAGTGTAATGCACACTAATCTTCAGGACTTTAAGGAAAACTAGGGTTTTTGAACTTTTGAAGGCGTAGCTATCTAACTGCTATAAATTAGATTTGGTTCTTCTTTCCCAGTTATCTCATCATTCAACTTTTCTTCCTTCTTTGGGTACAAAATGCCATGGATTCTGGAATAAAGCTCAAATTTGAGTGTTCATCCTCTCTCCAAACTCACCCTCCCAGCATTTACATGGTGAAAATCATTTAAAATCTATACACCTCAGTTTTCTCCAAAATGAGGATAAAAGGACTTTTTACATTATAGGTTATTCAAAATAAATGAGTAATACATATAAATATACACTACAATGTCAGGTATATAAGATACACTTAGTAAATATTAAATGATACTACATAAAACTATCTTTTTAAATAGCTGCTTATTGATTTGTGACAATACAGTTTTGTCTCCTGGTTGTGGTAGTAGGTTTTTTTGTTTTTGTTTTGGTGCATCTCCACCCCCCACCCCACCCCCGCCCCCAGTACTAGAAATTGAGTCCAGGTGTGCTCTACAACCAAGGTAAACATTTAGCCTTCCGCAACCCCCCCCCCTTTTTTTTTTTTTTTTTTTGAGAGAGAGGGTCTCACCAAGTTGCTAAGGTTAATTTCAACCTTAAAATTTTCCTACCTCGGCCTCCTAAGTCGCTGACACTACAGCTGTACACCATCACCCCCAACTATTAATGGTAGTTACTTGAAGCTGCACATTGGATAAAATTGCCTGGAACTGTACAATCATGTAAGTGTGTGCATGTGTAACTGGAGAAATCTGAACAAACTCTAGATTATACCAGTGTCAACTTTCTGATAGGCTAGATGAAGAGTACACAGAACCTCCCTGTACACTTCTTTGCAACTCTATAAATCTATAATTATTTCAAAATAAGTTTAACAAGTTACTGCTTATTGAAATTTCAATTTCTAAGTTATAAAAACATCTTTCTGATGAGCTCCAACAACATTTCTAATGTTTCATTGTAGTCTCAACATTTTATTGTTCTGAGAAGTGCTTCTTGTTGCTTTTAGGTGGAATTGAAACTGGATCTATCACGGAGATGTTTGGGGAATTCCGAACTGGGAAGACCCAGATCTGTCATACACTAGCTGTAACATGCCAGGTGAGCTAATTAAATCAGCAAGGATTAGTTGTCTCGTGTATTTGCAAACATCTATTAGGACAGACATAAAGGGACTTTCTTTGTCCTCAGGACTCCTATAACTAGTTGGAAGATAGACTCCTACTGCAAATCTTCCACATCATAGAAACTTCCATATTACTGATTTCAAATACTTTCTTATCCCTTAGGCCTCTCCTGGCTTTACCTGCCCTTTTTTTCATTAGTTTGCATATTATGGTTGATCATTAAAGTAATTCCTTTAGAAATAACCTCAACTTTTGTATCCACTTGAAGAGATACCAGTCTTAGAGGAATCCTATTTCTCGGTATTTGAACCCAAATTATTTACTGATCATACTGAAGAAAAATCATACCATAAAGTTGACTGATTTCACTTTAAATTCAAGATGAACAACCTTTAGATTAGCATTCAGTACTGTTTGGCCAATCTACTGAGTTTCTCTAGTTAGGTATGCTCTCCTAAACTTTATCTCATACTTGGTCCTTTCTTCTCAAACCTTCATGTTTTTTTCAACCCTCACTCTGAGCCAGTGATCTAACCTGCTTTTCATGTCAAATCTACAAATCCAGCTACAATTTTACCCATCTTTATTTCAAATTATGATGGATGTGTGTCCCTTTTCCTCTCAGTAGCTCATCCCTAACAATGTGATCTGATTACCATCTGTTGCCGTCCTCTCACAGACTCCTTCTTCCATTCTGTTTGATTTCTCTTAGATATCTTCATCACAATACAATTATGCCCAGTATTTCCTCTGTTGGAAAATCTTCCCTGGTTTTCTTTTACTTATGCTCTCATTAATGGGTGGATTTGGGAACATACACTCTGGGTTAAATAATTGCTTAATACGTTCATTTAAGTAATAAATACAGGAATCAAACTAGACTTCAGAGATTAAAACCTTCATAAGGGTAGATCCTATAACTGGCTTGTTCCCTGCTGTGTTGCTAGAAGCTAAGTCATTATTTGTTATTCAGTAATCATTCAATAGAATTTGAATGGATGGAGATTATAGAACAGAAGTTCTAGGGCATGCCTGACATACTGTAAAATAAATGATACACAGGAAATAGCTTAACTATTTAAAGGAGAAGGAAGGATTGCTTTACTCTAGAGTAATCAGAGTATGTATCTTTATAAAGAAAGATATTGGAAGCCAGACAAAGTGGTGCATGTCTATAATCCCAGTGGCTTAGGAGGCTGAGGCAGGAGGATTGCAAGTTCAAAGCCAGCTTCAGCAATGTAGCAAGACTAAGCAACTTGGCAAGACCCTATCTCAAAATAAAAACACGATGAGGAGGGGTATGTTTGGCTAATCTACTGAGTTTCTCCAATTAGGTATGCTCTCTTAAACTTTATCTCATACTTGGTCCTTTCTTAAATTATGATGGATGAGTGTCCCTTTTCCTCTGGCTCAGTGGTACGGCACTTGCCTAGCATGTGTGAGGCACTGGGTTCAATTCTCAGCACTGGGTTCAATTCTCAGCACTGCATATAAATAAATGAATAAACAAAAAGGTCTGTCAACATAAAAAAAAAAAATGAAAAGGACAAGAGATGTGGCTCAGTGATTAAGTGCCCCTGGGTTCAATCCCTAGTACCAAAAAAAGAAAGATAGAAGGATAGATGGTTATTGGAGTAGAGTTCTAAAGGATACAAAATTTAGGAGAAAGAAATTAAAAGAATTTAACTGTATTGAATGGAATAAACAACACAAGCGATGGAGAGACATAATGTATAAGAAGATAATACATAAATCTGTACATATAGCCTGTTTAGCATTTAGGTAGAAAATTGTAGGATATGAACCTTAAAAAAATATATCAAAATGGGGCTTGGTGGCACATGCCTGTTATCCCAGCTACTTGGGAGGCTGAGGCAGTCAGATGACAAATTAAAGCCAGCCTGGGTAATATAATATAATGAGACCCCCTGTCTTAAATTAAAGGGTTGGAGGAATAGATTGGCGTTTGAGTACCACCTGAGATCAATTCCCAGTACTTAGGGGAGGAGAAAAGAAATCAAGATCATATATTAGGTCTTCAGTGTAGATACAAAGTAAAAAATTGGGCTAGGGACATAGCTTGGTGGTAGAGTATGTGCTTAGCATGCGTAAGGTCTGGGTTCAATCCTCAGCACTAACACCAACTTCCAGTGAAGTTTAAACTTGGTTCTGTAAAGAGTAGGGAATATTTCAAAATTTTCAACAGGAAAATAAAACTTCCAGAAATATCTGGTAGCAACCTGTTGAAAAATTAGAGCTGAGGATATTTGATCTAAGATTATTAAAAGCATCTAATTGGAGAGTTTTATGGAAATATGAGTTCAAGTTTAGAGACGGTGGGTTGGTGGTGACCAAAAAAAAACCCAAGTAAAAATATCTAGCAGAGCTTTCTTAGTATATGAGACAGGGTCTTCAACACAATGCCTAGGCAGGCTTTGAACTCCTGAATTCAAGTGATCCTTTACCTCAGCTTTCTAAGCAACTGGGATTGCAGGCACGTACCATTGTACCCATCTTATCTACCAGTATTGATGAATATGGAATCAAGTCATATACAGAAGTAACAGTGGAATGTCTGAAAATGAAATATCTACAAGAGAGTGTAGAATATACAAGAGAAAGCTAACAAACTTCCTTGTTAGTGTCAAACAGTATTTAGTGCCTTTTTTCTTTTCTGAATAGGTCATCTTCACATTCTCTGGCTTTAAGGATATAATTCCTGGGAGTGGGTCAGTCCAGGTACATAGAATCTGGACTACTCTTATGAACCAATTCTTGCATCAAAATTTTTTGAGACTTTATCATCATTCTTGATATTTCAAAGAAAAATTACTTCTTGTTATTTTGTTTGCAATACTGAGGATTGAACTCGAGCACTTTACCACTGAGCTACATTCCCAGTCCTTTTTATTTTGAGACAGTCTGTCTCACTAAGTTGCTGAGTCTGGCCTTGAACTTGAGATCCTCCTGCTTTGACCTCCCATGTCATTGGCATTACAGGCTTGCTTCACCATGCCTTGACATGGGCCCACCATTTTCTTGAGATGATGAATACTGTTTGTTAAGGTAGAAGAATATTCTGTTTCTTTATGAATAAGTTTATCTAACATCAAGCAAACCAGCTTGATAGTTTTTGTTTTTCTATCATTTACCTTTCTCACTTACCATTTTATTGCTTCTTTGATTGCTCCACTGATCTTCCATTTATTTATTTTAAGTTGCAGATAGGTACAGTACCATTTATTTATTTGTTTATTTAGTGGTGCTGGGGATTCAACCCAGGGCCTTGTGCGTGTGAGGCAAGCATTCTACTGAGTGAGCTATATCCCCAGCCCCCAATTTATTTATTTTTGTGGTACTGAGGATCGAATCCAGTGCTTACACATGCTACGCAAGCACTCTACCACTGAGATACAACCTAGCCCTCTCCACTGATCTTTTCTTTGCAAACCAAAATATCACCATATGTCTTATGAGACAGCCAAGTTAGAATTTCAATATCAAGTACACCTGTGTCATTGTTGGCCCTCCTCATGAATACTGAGAAAGAAGGAGTTTGAAGAAGAAAGAAAAAACTTTGAGGATAACAAAATATTGAGGAGAGTGGTAGTAAGCTATGAAACTTGCTTGAGCACCATTAGAAATTTGATAGCTAAAGTAGAAAAGCAGTATTTAAGATATTGCTTAAGGAGCTGGGAATGGTGGCACATGCCTATAATCTCAGCAGCTCAGGAGGCTGAAACAAAGGATCACAAGTTCAAGGCCAGCCTTGGCAATTTATCGAGAATCTGTCTCAAAATAAAAAGGGATAAGAATGTAGCTCTCAGTGGTAAAGGGCCTTTGAACTCAATCCCCAGTACCAGAAACAAACAAACAAATAAAAAGAAAACTGTATTACCCTTTTGGGATGTAGCTCAGTGGTAGAAGACTTGCCTAGCCTATGTGAGGCCCTGGGTTTGATACCTAGCATAGTGGTTGGAAGGGGATTAGCCTTACATGGGTCATTGAACATGATGTGTGGCCTTTTATTTATTCATTTATTTATTTATTTAAGATTTTTTTTTTAAGATGGACACAATATATATATATATTTTTTTTTAATGTGGTGCTGAGGATCAAAGGTCTCAGGTAAACGTAGTCTCTTTATAAATATAACACTCAAGGCTAGGGCTGTAGCTCAGTGGTAGAGCACTTGTCTAGAATGTATGAGGACTGGGTTCAGTACTCAGCATCACATAAAAATAAATAAAATAAAACTATCTGTCCATCTACAACTAAAAATATTTTTAAAAAATTCACAGGTGGCTGAGCAACTATAGATCTTTGATCTTTTTTCAGAGAAAAAGAATGTTAATTTGTTAAAAGTTGAAAGGATTACACTTAACTAGTCTAAGAGCTAGGACCAGGGGTATAGAGAGAATGTTAGATTACTGCTTATATCTAAACATTCTTTGTTCTCACTGTTCAGATTTTCTCAACTTAATGAAGTGAAAACTTGCTGAGAATTGGATGTCTAACACTGAAATTATATAAAGTTGAGAGCTACAGTTAAAATATAAAAATACACTCCATATTTGTTCAGAGTACTAGACTAATTTAAAAATTCTGAAAAGATAGGTTGGGGTTGTAGCTCAGTGGCAGAGTACTTGCTTCGCATGTCTGAGGCACTGGGTTCTATCCTTAGCATCACATAAAAATAAACAAATAAAATACAGGCATTCTGTCCATCTACAACTACAAAACAATTTTTTAAATTCTGAAAAAATAATTTAACATATGTATTAAACTTTAAAGTATATGCTCACTAGACATAGTGGAGCACACCTGTAATCCCAGTGGTTTGGGAGGCTGAGACAGGAAGATTGCAAGTTCAAGGCCAGCCTCGAAACATAATGAGGCCCTGTCTTAAAACAAAAAATTTAAAAAGAACCAAGGATGTGACTCAGTGGTTAAGCACATCTGGGTTCAATCCCTGGTACCAAAAAAATATATATAGTTTATAGTTTTTTTTTTAATCATTTACCTTTCTTATATGTGTGTGTATTTTCTTTCACAGAAATATACAAAGAATTTTTTTACCATTAAAATGGTAAAAATGAGAAACAACATGCATAGGAAGAAGAGTTAAATTATGATACTAAGCAGTTATTTAAAAACAGCTAAAAAGATTGTGCTGTAGCCCAATAACACAAGATGGCTGTGGTCGCACTAATAGGGCAAGTTGGAGAACATAGCCTGTAGTTGATCTGCATCTGCTCCAGGTTACCACTGACTCAACTATATCTGACACCTTCTCTGTTTCCTTGTTATCAATCTGCCTATCTGTGCCTAGTTACCTATGGCCTCCCTTATGTCTAAGGAGGTCTACCCAGTTGCAAAAGAATTTTCTTATGATAGCATTCACAATATCAGAAAGTGAGAGAAAGGGAAAATCATTCATCTGTATCCTGGAGACTTAGCCCCAGAGTATCCAGATTTCCTCCTCTCCACAAACTTCAAAAAGCTTCTACTTTGATCCTGTTAGCCATTGGTTCTACATTTTTAACCTCTGTCAAGGCCCTCCTTTTGTTTTATACATGTCTTTTGTTCCTTGCGTACATTCACATGATATAAAAAATTTTTATCTGCCAACTTTCCAAATAGTAATATAATTATTCTCTTTCTAAATTAACAAAGCCTTCCACAGTAGAGTATACAACAAAATCAGTGCCCTAAAATTCAGGGAAATCATATCTTCAAAGTACTTTTCTGTACATCAAGTACTATTTAAATGATTTACATGACTTTATTTAATCCCAGCCATATCGGTGTTTATAGCAGCAAAATTCACAATAGCTAAATTATGGATACAGCCCAGATGCCTGTCGATAGAAAAATGGATAAAGAAAAAAGTTTTTTCTAAGATTAGCATTGGGTATTTGCCAGCCCCTGAATGTAAAATGTTCTAAAGGATTTTCCTCAGAATCCAAATGGGAATTTTGGGTTCAAAATAGATTTCTAGTTTGGAAACTATCCTTAAAGCATCATTCACTTAAAATTTGTAGAATTAACTTAAAGGTGTCTAACATGGGATGGGTAGTCTAAAATAGAGTTTTCCTTGTGGCCTATGAGACTGTTTTCATAATATTCTGTGTTCTTTTCTTTTCTTGCCTCTTTTGTTTGATTCATTGGGTGTATGATTTTGAGGTTTGGGGATTTGGAGTTTTTTGTGTGTTAGGTTCTTTGGGTTTTGAGGCTGGGAATTAAATTCAGGGCTTCATGAATGCTAAGCATTTTGCGCTTGTTTTTTTTTTTCTTTTTTTTCCTTCCCTCCTCCCTACTTTATAACAAACTATTGTTTTCCTTTTTCACTCTGTTCACTTTTAACACCTATATATACTATTACAGCAAATATCGTGTTTCTTGCTTATATTTTAAACTTTCTATGGATGCTTCTGGGCCATTGACAAGCCCCTTCAGTAGCCCTTTGAAATGAACTCTGCTCAATAAAGTGAAGTATAGGGCTAGGGCTGTGGCTCAGTGGCAGAGCACTTGCCTACCATGTGTGAAGCACTGGGTTCCATCCTTAGCATCACATAAAAATAAACTAATAGGGGCTGGGGATATAGTTCAGTTAGTAGAATGCTTGCCTCACATATACAGGCCCTGGGTTCGATCCCCAATACCACAAAAAATAAATAAATAAACAAACAAAGGCATTCTGTCTATCTACAACTACAAAAAAAGAAGTTCTTTTAAAAAGTGAAGTATAAATTTGTTCTGGATCCTAAGATTAATTGGGGATTGGATTAGGATCCCTTGTTAATTAGACCTAAATGGGTAAATGATCTTCTAATTATTTGTACTAATGAACTAATACATCTTCTATTGGTGTGCAGTCAAATTTTTTCACCTACTTTGAACTATATTTCTGAGCAATCTAACTGACAAGATTCTAGCTTTGTGTGCTATTAGACATAATGTGAGCGCTTCATGTCTAATACCAACTGTGTTTCCATCCAAAGGAAATGACTTCTTCCTGCCTCCTATCATTTTAGAATTTTTATTTTTCTTCTCTGCTTTATCAGGAGTAGGAGGAATTATAGACCTGTCATGGGGAACTTGGTCCACCTGTATCAGAAATATCAATTATTTCCACTGTTGTTTTTTGGTTTTCCTCTTTAGCTTCCCATTGACCGGGGTGGAGGTGAAGGAAAGGCCATGTACATCGACACTGAGGGTACCTTTAGGCCAGAACGACTGCTAGCAGTGGCTGAGAGGTAGGTTACTTATTAGATTAGAAAATATATGGCTGCACTTGTCACTGTGTAGAGTCTCACTGAATTGCTCAGGGCCTCAGCCTCCTGAGCAACTGGGATTATAGGCATGTACCATCACACCTAGCATGACTTACAGATTTCAACACTATTCCCATAAAAATTATAGCAAGCTTTTTTGCCAAAATTGACAGAGCAGTTATAAAATTGATATGGGAATGTAGGAGACTCAGAAAAACTAAAACTAACACTGGTGATTGCCAGTGTTAGTTTGGCTAAAGAATATCTCTTGTGTTACTTCACATCCCAAATTATGTATATGGTTCAAAAGAATGGTCTTCCGTAGTAAAAGGAAAAGGGGGTGGAGGCATTCTTTAGTCAATGTATTAATCACTGTCAGACTGGATAAAAAATAAATTTATGGGGCTGGGGTTGTGGCTCAATGGTAGTGCTCGCCTGGCACGTGCAGAACCCTGGGTTCGATCCTCAGCACCACATAAAAATAAATAAGTGAAATAAAGGCATTGTGTCCAAATATAACTAAAAAATAAATTAAAAAAAAATAATAATAAATAAAAATAAATCCAACTACATACTGACTTCCAAAGAAACACTTCAAATTCAAAGACAAATAGATTGAAAGTAAAAGGATAGAAAAAGATGTCACATGCAAACAGTCACCATAAGGAGGATGAATAGTTATATCAGACAAAATAAATTTTAAGACAAAAAAATACTACTGATAAAGAGGGACATTTTATAATTAAAAGGTCAGTTCACCAGCAATAAAAAAAATCTTAAATATATACACACCTATCAGCAGAACACCAGAATAAGTGAAACAAAAACTGAAGTAATTGAAAGAAAAAAAAATGGACAATTCAACAATATTTGGGGACCGATATCACTCTCACTTTCAATAATAGATGGTACCTTCAGTGTCAATAATGAGTTCAAGGCCTTGGTGAAGGTTGTTATTTTCATCAACTTTTTTGTTGCTGTGCCAAAAGACCCAACAATAAGAGGAGAAAAAGTTTATCTGGTTCACAGTTCCAGAGGTCTCAGTCCATACATAGATGTCTGATTCAGTTACTCTGGGCAGAAGGTTAGGCAGAACATCACAGCAGAAAGGTGTGGAGGAGAAAAATAGCTCAGGGCCTAGCAATCAGGAAACAGAGTGCTCTGCCCAACAGGGATAATGTGAACCCCAGAATACACTTCCACTGGCTCATCTCCTCCAGCCACACCTAACCTGCCTATAATTACCACTCAGTTGATCCATATCACTGGGTTGACACACTGATTGGGTTAAAGCTCATAATCTGATGTGACTGTGTATTCTTGCATCGTCTCACATATGAACTTTTGTGGGGCATCTCAGATCTAAATCATAATAAATGTCTATGAAAAATCTATTACTGGCATCATACTTAACGGTGAGATTTTGAATGCTGTCCTCTTAATGTCAGGAAAAGGGTGGTAGGTAGGTCCTCGCCAATGCAGCCAGATAAGAAAATGAAATAAAAGGCATCCAGTTTTGGAATGGAAAAAGTAAAACTGTCTATTTGCTGATGACATGATGACTGTATGTAGAGAATCCTAAGGAATCCACACAAAAACTAGAACTAGAAAAAAAAAAGTTCAGCAAAGTTGTGGGATACCATGTCAATATGCAAAAATTAATTGTGTTCCTATATATTATCAAAGAACAATTCAAAAAACAGTTTCAGAGGCTGGGGATATAGCTTAGTTGGTAGAGTGCTTGCCTTGCATGCATAAGGCCCTGGGTTCAATCCCCAGCACCACAAAAAACAAAACAGTTCCAGTTACAGTAGAATGAAAAAGAATTAAAACAGTGGACAGGTATGGTAGCACTTGCCTGTACTTCCTGCTGCTTGAGAGTCTGAGATAGAAGGATCTCTTGAGCCCATAGTTCTAGACCATTCTGGGTAACATTGTGAGACCTGTCTCAAAAAAGAAAGAAAATATTTCAGAATAAATCTGACAAAAGTAAGACACATTGAAAACTGTAAGCCTTGCTAACAGAACTTGAAGATGAAATTCCACATTCATGGGTTAAAGACTCTACTATTAAATGGCAGTCTTCCTTAAATTGATATACAGATTTTTTTTTTTTTTTTCTTTTTTGGTACGGGGGATTGAACCCTGGGGTGCTTAACCACTAAATGATATATCCCCACTCTTTTTTATAAATATAAATAAAATAAAGACAGAGTCTCACTGAATTGCTCAGGGCCTCAGCCTCCTGAGCAACTGGGATTATAGGCATGTACCATCACACCTAGCATGACTTACAGATTTCAACACTATTCCCGTAAAAATTACAGCAAGCTTTTTTGCCAAAATTGACAAACCAGTTATAAAATTGATATGGAAATGTAGGAGACTCAGAAAAACCAAAATATTCTTGAAAAAGAAAGAAGAAAATTGAAGGTCTTAGACTTCCCAATTTAAAACTCATGACCAGGATTAGTGATAACATACCTATACTCCTAACTACTTGCGAAGCTGAGGCAGGAGGATTGCAGTTCGAGGCCAACGCAGTATACTGTCAATTTAGCTGAGACCCTGTCTCTAAATAAAATTTAAAGGGCTGGGGATATAACTCAGTATTTTCCTAGCATATGTAAGGCCTTGAGATCAGTCCCCAGAACTGCCAAAAATAAATATATACGCTCATTATAAAGTAATTAAGTAATTGTGATCATGGCACAAGGATGAATTGAATTAAGAGTTCAAGGCGCAGCGGCGGCGGCAGAAGATGGCTGCGACTGGGGCGGCGGACACTCAGCTGATGCTCGGGGTTGGGCTGATCGAAAAGGACACAAATGGAGAAGTTCTGTGGGTGTGGTGTTACCCTTCCACGACAGCCGCATTAAGGAATCTGCTGCTCAGAAAATGCTGTCTCACAGACGAAAACAAACTTCTCCATCCCTTTGTCTTTGGGCAGTACAGAAGAACATGGTTTTATATCACAACAATTGAAGTTCCAGATTCTTCAGTTTTGAAAAAGGTGACTCATTTTTCTATTGTTCTGACCGTCAAAGATTTTAATCCAGAGAAATATGCTGCCTTCGCTAGGATATTGTGTAGAATGTACCTGAAACATGGGAGTCCAGTTAAAATGATGGAGAGTTATATTGCAGTTCTTACCAAGGGTATCTGCCAGAGTGAAGAAAATGGCTCTTTCCTTAGCAAGGACTTTGATGCTCGAAAGGCATACCTTGCAGGCTCCATCAAAGACATTGTATCTCAATTTGGAATGGAAACTGTTATCTTACACACGGCATTGATGCTAAAAAAAAACGAATTGTTGTCTATCACCCTAAAATAGAAGCTGTTCAGGAGTTTACCAGGACTCTGCCTGCCCTGGTGTGGCATCGACAGGATTGGACCATCCTGCATTCTTATGTGCACCTCAACACTGATGAGCTAGAAGCCCTGCAGATGTGCACAGGTTACATTGCTGGGTTCGTAGACCTGGAGGTGAGCAACAGACCAGATCTCTATGACGTGTTTGTGAATCTGGCAGATAGTGAGATCACCATTGCTCCACTTGCAAAAGAGTCCATGACAATGGGAAAATTGCACAAAGAAATCGGCCAGCTAATTGTTCAGTCTGCAGAGGATCCAGAGAAGTCAGACAGCCAGGTTATACAGGATATTGCCCTAAAAACAAAAGAAATCTTCACCAACCTAGCACCATTTTCTGAAGTTTTGGGTGATGGAGGAAAACGAGTCCTCAATTTGGAGGCGCTCAAGCGGAAAAGATTTCCACCAGCAACAGAGAATTTCCTTTACCACCTAGCAGCAGCCGAACAAATGCTGAAACTCTGACTGTGAGATAGGATGTGCGCTGGTGACTGCTGGAAAGCTCTCCTTCCACTTTGATTATCCGTTGACTGTGGAAAATACTGGAGATAAGAGGAAATGCTATATTTTCAGTGATTTATTTGAAATTATTGAGATTTGACCTGAAAAACACTGAAACACATGAAAACACTTGTGATTTTTCTCCCAACTATTAGTTTCCTGCCTACTGTCAACGTCTGACAAAGTGCTGTCTGTAACTATTCCATGTGAGGAATGCCTCTGCCCAGTGTCCTGGAGTGAGGGGAAGCTCTGTCCTTGGGCAAATCACAGCTGATGCAAAAGCCTTCATTATTAGTTCCCATGTGTCTCATCGTGTACCATAAACTAACAGTTTGTTACCAGAAAAAAAAAAAAAAAAAAGAGTTCAAAAATAAAACCTTTAATTTATGGTTATTAGATTTTACACGGATGCCAAGGCAATTTATATGGGAAAGAAGACTCTTTTCAACAAATGATGCTAATGTAGTTCAATATCAATGTGCAAAAAAAGAATAGCCACTTACTGTACATGGTACTAGTAATTACTAGTAACATGGTTATTCAAAAACATTAAACACAAACTGGGTGTCGTGGCACACACCTGTAATCCCAGTGGCTCTGGAGGCTGAGACAAAAGAATGGCAAGTTAAAAGCCAGCCTCAGCAAAAGCAAGACACTAAGCAACTCAGTGAGACCCTGTATCTAAAAATAATACAAAATAGTTCTGGGGATGTGGCTCAGTGGTCAAATGCCCCTGAATTCAATCCCTGGTACCTAAATAAATACAGAATAATTGCCATATGATCCAGTTATTTCCACTTCTGAGTGTATATGCAAAAGAATTTAAAGCAGGGAAGCACTTGAAAATGCAGTACACTGTTAATCAGCAATCATAATCAAAACAACACAACAATCAAAGGGTGGTAACTACCCAAATGTTCATTGGCAAATGAATGGATAAGCAAAATGTGGTATGTATACATACAATGAAATATTACTTGGCCTTAGGAAGGAAGAAAATTCTGACACACAAAACAGTATGGATTAACCTTGAGGACAGTATGATAGGTGAAATAAGCCAATCATGAAAGGAAAATACTGTGATTCTACTAGTATGTACTAGAGTAATCAAAGTCATGGAGACAGAATAAATTAGAATGGTGCTTACTTGTAAAGAAAATCAAGAGCTATTGTGTATGACATTTATTGTTAAATTTATTAAATGTCTCAACTAGTAAATTAATAAGCAATGTTTTATCCATCAATAGAATGTTGTTTGGCAATTTAAAAATATCTAAACACTGATACATGTTACAACATGAATGAACCTAAAAACATGCTGGTGGAAGTTAAATATAAAAGACCACATACGTACAATCCATTTATATGAAATTTCCAAAGGGGAAAAATCTGTCAAGACAATAAAATTATGTATATTGAGGGTAAGAATCTGGAATAACTGCAAATGGACTTAGAGATATTTGTGGTTGTAAATGTTCCACAGTTGGACTGTGTGGATGGTTGTACAAATCTGCAAATTTACTTAAACTTGCTGAATTTTGTATTTACAACACATTTGCTTTTTGGTATATTACTTATCTTGCAGTAAAGCTGATACATCTTTCAAATGAACTCAAAATTATTTTCTTGTGTTTAGGCTTAAATATGATAATTTAGTTCTTATCACACATTTTACTGAAACTCAGTTAAAGAGAATTTACTTCATGTTGGGTTGTCAGATTCAAATTGAAACCTGCCTGATTAATTTGAGAATATTTTCTCTAGTTTTATAATTATAATCAAATTCTCTTTCCTATTTGATAATCAGAGGGATCCAATCCGTTGAATATATACCACTGAGGCATAAAATTAGGTTGAAACAATAATTGTAGCACTTTACCTTTGCTTACATGAGAAAAAAAGAATTATTCTCTTTTGCAACCTGACCTTAGTTTTCTGAAGCTGTATGTGCTGAACTCTGTCTTCTCTCTAAGGCTTGTTTGGCAGTCTTTTGGATAGAATCACTAAGACTTTTTCTAGTAATATAGGAAGTATTCAGATAATATAGAAGAATATAAGCCATGAGGATAGAAACTTTGTTTTGATCACTCACTGTATCCCATAGCCCTAGAACTATTCACTCATTATTTATTAATGAATTAATTACTTTATTAATTAGGGCCATGTTTATGATGATTTTTTTCATTGAAGAGAAAATATGTTTGAATAGAAATTAATTCATCTTAGTCACACCCACCTAGTGAGAAAATTTTTAGAATTGAATTTCCATGTATATATGTTGCTTTCAATTGATAGTTCTGGAAAGTCATAGGCCTCCTTAAACTAATATCCAATTTCTGTTCCCAGCAGAACATAATTTGCCATGAACTTTTAAGAATACTAAACCACAATCAGGTTACTATGGCACAGGATTCCCAGAATGTGTGCATTAGCACACATGTACATGAAAACAGCTACATTAGCACCTGGGAACTTGTTAGAAATGCAAATGCTAGCCAGGTGCAGTGGCATAGGCTTGTAATTTCAGCTGAAACTGAGGCAAGAGATAACCAAGTTTGAGGACAGCCTGGGTAATTCAATGAGACTCTGTCTCCAAAAAAAAAAATAATTTGTTAAAGTGCAGGCAAAGTGGTAGAATACCTGCCTAGCATGTGCAATGTAATCCCCAATGTCTCAAAAAAAGAAAAAATACTATCCTCATCTCCTTATCCCCATGATAGAATCATGAACGTAGAATAAGCTCAAAGAATTACAGAACACTGGATTTTCTTTAAACACTATCCCTCCATCCATCCATATCTCCCTTTCTCTTGTGTTTTACTGAGAAATGAACCCTGGGGCCTACATCCCCAACTATTTTATTTTGAGACAGAGTTTCATTAGGTTGTCAAGGCTGGCCTCAATCTTGAGATCCTTCTGTTTTCTGTGTTCCAATTCACTGGGATTACAGGTGTGCATCACTGCATTCAATTGATCATTCTGTTTTGAACTATTAAATAAGGGGATAACTATTATACTTCATGAAAACCACTTGTTTTTAAGTGATGATACATTATTTTCACATTGTTCAGGGTGTGGATAAAAGCATTCAATAACATCTTGGGGGGATGGTACTATGGATTGAACTCAGGGGCACTCAGCCATTGTATTTAGAGACAAGTTCTCACTGAGTTGCTTAGTGCCCCGATTTTGCTGAGGCTGGCTTTGAACTCGTCATCCTCCTCTCAGCCTCCTGAGCTGCTCAATACATTTATCAGAATCTAATAGGTATATAAAATATACTAGGAAATTAGTGAATCCCATCCCAGTTTTTTCCCTAAAGGAATTTATATTCCAGTAAAAGAATGGCACAGTAGTTCTTCACAAGTGTCATAAAAAAGCTCAAACCACATTTTTAGAAATCCTGAAGAGGAAGAATCACATCTATTTGAGAGATGCAGGAAATCTTTGTATAAGTACAGGTAAAGCCAGGTGTGGTAATGTATGCCTATAGTCCCAGCTACTGGAGAGAATCACTTGAACCCAGGATTTGAGGCTAGACTGGACAATACAAGGAGACCCCTAACTGAAGAAATTTTAAAGAGTGCAGGTTAAGTCTATTCAGATAGATAAATCAAAACTTTTTTTTAATGGTGTGAAGATGAACCCAGGGCCTCTTTCCTACTACACCAGTGCTCCATCATTAAGCCACATCCCCAATACTTAACATTTAATGAGAATGAAATTGTCTTTCTTGAGCAACCTTGAACATTCATATCTTAGTTAGCAGAAGCAGAAGTGAGTCCATTCTATGAAAACAGGAGCTATTTTATTTGCTCTTTAGACACAAAAGGAAAAAAAAATCATTAAGCCATAAATTGAATTCAGATGTCACTCACTTATACTACATACATAAATATCACATTCTGAACTGTAACTTGTTTTATTCTTGTAACTAGAAACTATTATGAGAATTTTGAAGAAATGAAATATGTTTAATAAAATCCTTCCTTGAACTTATAGTTTGAGGACCCTTTTTTAGAAGGTTTAATGTTCATATACCAGTAGTTGATGTGAATTCAAATTGATACATTTATTTTGGCTTGTTGCCCTTGGGTTTTGCAGAATATTGTTTCCCTTTAATTAGGAATTCTCATTCTAGATTTGGAGTCCTCAAAGAATAAATTTGATTTATCTTAAAGTCTTACCAGGTACATCTACTCTAACAATTGCTGCTGCCATCTTTCTCTGAAGTTTGCCTGCATATCATAATAGAAAGGGATTTAGTGCTGGGGATGTAGCTCAGTGGGAGAGCACTTGTCTAGCATACACAAGGACCTGGGTTTGATACTCAGCACCACCAAAAAGAAAAAAAAGGTATTTATATTCTTGGATCTTGAAAGCACTGTCAGTACCACTTCTTACCTACCCATCCTGGTAATTTAAATCTTAGAAACGAATTTCTCACCCGACTAAGTTCTGTGCCTGAAATGTTCTCTTTTCTAGATATGGTCTCTCTGGCAGTGATGTCCTGGATAATGTAGCATATGCTCGAGGATTCAACACAGACCACCAGACTCAGCTCCTTTATCAAGCGTCAGCCATGATGGTAGAGTCTAGGTATGTGCTTAGCAGAAGATACCAAATATGTTCCCAGAGCTCTTTGTATCTTGTTCATAGTAACCCGAATTAGAAATGGAGAATTTTAGTTTCTGTTATTATGCTTATGACATGTGTATATGCACATGGGCTTTACTGGAGATTGAACCAGAGCTTCATGTCTGCTAGGCACACACTTAAAGCTCTGAGTTGTATACCTCAGCCCTTTTTTGAGACATGGTTTCACTCAGTTGCCCAGGCTGGCCTTGAACTTTGTAATTCTCTTGCCTCAACCTCTGGAATAGCTGGATAACGGGTGTACATAGTCACTCCTGGCCTATTTTGACACTCTTGTTTTGTGATCGAGTCACTAATGAAAAATGAAGCCAAGGGCTGGGAGTATAATTCAATGGTAGAGCACTTGGCCTAGGATGTGTGAGATCCTAGATTTAATTCTCATCACCATACACGTACAAAAAAGAAACATGATCTAAACTCCTATATGAAAATTAAAATATGAGATTTTAGAGGATTGAATAAAGGAATAGAAACTGACACAGGCTAGAAAGTCTTCAGAAAATGCTTGTTCTTGTTGGGCTAGTGACTCAAAAGAGTGAGGCAGGAGGATCTCAAATTCAAGGCCAGCCTTGGCAACTTACTGAGAACCTTGTCTCAAAAAAAAAAAAAAATAGAAAAGACTGGGAGTGTAACTCAGTAGTAGAGTGTGCCTCTGGGTTCAACCCCTCGTACCAAGAGAAACAAAAAAAAAAAAAGAAAATTCTTGTTCCCTTTAGGTATGCACTGCTTATTGTAGACAGTGCCACCGCTCTCTACAGAACAGACTACTCAGGTCGAGGAGAGCTCTCAGCCAGGCAGATGCATTTGGCCAGGTTTCTGCGGATGCTTCTGAGACTTGCTGATGAGGTAAGCTGCAGGGCTACAAAAATTTACGGGAACCTTGCTGAGAGGTGAGGACATTAGTGCCTAATATCAAGTTATTAGTTTAAAAATGAAGAGAAACCTTAGTCATTCGTTGCTTTGTGGGGGGAAGTGGTGGCAGCATTAAGGTTCTTGGAATGTCCCTGGCTACAAAACTCACATCCTTCCCCCATCAGTTTGGTGTAGCAGTGGTAATCACCAACCAAGTGGTAGCTCAAGTGGATGGAGCAGCCATGTTTGCTGCGGATCCCAAAAAGCCTATTGGAGGAAACATCATTGCCCATGCATCAACCACCAGGTAAGGTGATGGCATTAATACTTCTTGCTTAAATATATGTTCTATTAACTGTGAACTAAACATGACAATAAAACATTTCCATTTAAACCATATTAAAGCTGACATTGTGTAATTAAACACTTGGGAACTCTTGCTAAATCTAATTGTCTTACTCTGATTGGTACTGGTGTTTTGACAGAATTTAAAACTCTGTTATTGAAGAATGAGTATTGAACCTCTGCCTGATTATTTTGAAAACTGTCTGTTTCAGTATGAGCATTCCACTAAAGGGGTCAGAGAGAATGGATTTCTCCAGGTTAGAAATGCACTAAAATCCCTAATGTCCTTGTAGGAAATACACAGACATATACATATATATCTTAAAAAGCTCTATTATAAAGTCAGGATGTAATTATAATAACTTGGTCTGTGTCTTTGGGTCAGATTATACCTGAGGAAAGGAAGAGGGGAAACAAGAATCTGCAAAATCTACGACTCTCCTTGTCTTCCTGAAGCTGAAGCTATGTTTGCCATCAATGCGGATGGTGTGGGAGATGCCAAAGACTGAATTACTGGATTTTTTCCCCTGTGGTAAACTTTTTTTAAGTGCTGCAATCTAATGGAGAGGACTGCTCCCTGGGGTTCTTCACAAGCTTCTTCCTTGTTGTGAGTGCCAGGACAACATCCAGGAAAATAGCTATTATATCAGCCTTTCTAATTGTGTAAATAGGAGACAGGTCAGAATTCACAAACTGATCTGAAATGTTTATTCCTTCTGGAGCATGTTAATCTTTGTGATTTCTTTGGTGTTTATAGAGGTATAAAATACCTTTGACATAGTGTCTTGGAATGGACTCAGGGCTAACAGGTCTCCAAGAAAAGTAGTTGGGAAGATCTGATTTCTTCTTTCACTTCCAAATAAAATGTCTGAGCTCTGTAGCCAAAGGAGTGAGTCTCTTCACAGGATCTTCTATCAGCAAAACTCCCCTATTAATTAGAATGTAGGTTTTAAGGTTGTATGCCTGAACTCATAAAAATTTGATTTAGATTAAGGACTCTTGATGAGGCCTGCTGGGCTATCAGTCCTTATTCTTCTACTTGCTTGGTCTTTTACTTACCACTAAGACTAACTGAATTCTGGAATCTTAAGCATTTCAAAGACTAAGTAAGCAGATACAATATGAGGCTGTTAATAACTTTTTGTAATGAATATACTATTTGGTTTTTTTGTGGTCCTAGGGACTAATCCAAGGGATGCTCTACCACTGAAGTATATCTCCATCCCTTTTTATTTTGAGAGAGTCTGCTAAAGTACCAAGTCTGACCTCAAATTTGTGATCTTCCTGTATCAGTGTTTTCAGTCGCTAGGATTACAAGTGTGCACTGAAATCCAGAATGAGTATACTGATTGGTTTTTGTTGTTGTTGTTTGTTTTTACTTGTAGATATATACGTAAGTAAAGGTGCTATGTCTATCTTTATGTGGTGCTGAGGATCGAACCCAGTGACCCACGATAGGCAAGCACTATACCTCTGAGCTACAACCCCAGCCCCTGAACGTACTGTTTATAGGATAGTTATCTAGAGCAAGATGAATATTTCAAGATAGGGTTTCCATAATACCACTTTGGCACTGAGTAGTGCTGGTCAGTTTCTATTGCATTAAGTATTGAAAACTGAAAAGAAAATCCTACATTCAGGTAATTGACCTTATATCCTTCAATCCAATGGAAAACATTACAAGATTGAACTATCATGACATTCCTATGGCTTGTTTTTATTCCGTAAGTCTCAGGTTGTAGGGGTCTGGCACTTGCCCAGATTATTTTGTTTCAGAAGTTTGAGATCCTTCTGTTGTTAAGACTTCTACTTGGAATGGGTTTTAATCAGTTCTAAGTTTAAAAGGCCTCTCAGCTAGTATTGGGATATGTGACACAGAAAATCTCTGCTGCCGCATATGTTGGCCCCCTACTTTATGCAGGGAAATGGGAATATTTAGATCAATTTAATGCAGTTTTGTTTGACTGACTTTAAGGGAGTGGGCATGGCAGTACACACCTATATTCTCACTGAAAGTGCTCATTGACCATCCAAAAACTTTGGATTTTAGATAACAAAAGTTGTCTTATCCTCAGAATTGACTGTATCTCGGGTCTTCTTTTTCTACATCACAAAATAAACCTAGGTTGGTCTTTATAAAGACAATGACAGATTCTGCAGTGAAATATTGGCTCTCATAAAGGCACCTCAGCCCTATATGGTACTTAGATGAATCTGACCTAGACAATTATCTTACTCTTCATTTGGAATTGGACTTTGTGCTAAACAAGAGGGGCAGGGAACAGTAGATAAAAACAAGCTCTCTGGCTATGTTTTACACGCAGCTAAATTTTTCCACTGGAAAGAACATTAATCAAAGATCTTATTTAGTGCACTGTTTTTCTATGCATATCATTTCATGTGTAGGAGGAAAAAAACAGAAGATTGTCATCATTGTTATCAACTTTGGTTTATTTCAAGCTTGTGCCAAAATATATTCCAGATAATGCTTCAGATCATTGTTGCATAATAAACCCTAATGCCATTTCTGTCATTCCAAAAGCTGCCAGAACTCTGGAAGTCAAGTGGTCCAGCCCCTTAACCCAGGAATACAGGTAGAGTCCACATGATAGGTGATGAGAGGGGCAATAATTGAACTGCTCTGGCCCCTCGTTTTGTCCTGGTAAGTAGGGTATGATCTTAGGATTAAGATGTAGCTAATGAATATTATGAATATTAATCAGTGAAAACATTAGAGTGACAAGTTCTCTTTGTTCCTTTAGCTCTTTGAAAGTTCATCTATCTCACTGGCAGTGCTGCTACTTCATCTTTCAGCTCTAGCAGCCTTCAGGGATCCACCCACACTTAACCCTAGGGCAAATGCCAGTTTAAGTCTTCATTTTTCAAGAATTTCCTTAAGGGGAAGAACAACAGAAACCCAAGGTGCAAGTTCTTCCCTAATTTTAGATTAGGTAAAACATGAGAATAAATTAACTGATGGACAGCAGGCAAGAAGTTGGGGAACGGTAGTGGGTAACAGTCAGACCCAGGGGGCAGAACACTACCTAAACCAGTCTTGCTTGGTTTTCTGATCTTAGCAGGGTCTATGGAAAAAAAGCCTTGATTTTTTTTTTTTTTCCCTCTTAAATAGTATTCCTGAAGTCACAAAGGCCATTGAAATGTGATTATTCTCCTAAAATTACTTCCAGTTCTTGCAGATCCTTCTGGAAAGCTGAATCCTAGAGAAACAAACAGAACAAATCTAGTACTCAAAATCTGCACCAATCTTTTCTCAAACCACCCGTACCTGAGGGGTCCTTTGCTTCCCTCCTGAGCTCTTAGCTGTAGTCTTTTTCCTACTTTCCCAGATAGCCTGGAGCCCATGAAATCTGTCTCCTCCCCTAGGTAAGATGTACACAGAACACAGAAGAGATTCCATGTAGAGGATAAACTCTCATCCCAGGGAAATAAGACCTCAAAGGAAGATTTTCTTTATTGAAAAGGTCACATGATGACACAGTTGTAGAATTCAGTATTTTAAAAACTCTTTAAAAAGTATTACCTCATTAGTAACATCTGGCAACTCCAAGGCCAGCTTCATCCACCTTTTAGCTTCAGTGTTTTTTCCTAGTTCTCTATAGCACTGAGAAGAGACAACAATAAAAACCTGACAAACACCACCAGGAGATAGGAAGAACAAAAATATCTATGCTTTCAAGAGTTCCCAGAAGGGTTGGGAATGTGGTAAGGTGCCTGGGTTTGGTCACCAGCACCAGAAATATCATCTACATAAATGTGTTTTCATCTAGGTTGAAGTGAGTTTACCTTGGAAATATACACCCTTCCTGCTTTGGAAAATCCTGGCTGTAGTTCTTCAACCTAGAGAGGGAAGGCATTTCATTAAGAAGTTCTAAAATTCAAGTCAGGCAAAAGTTTATTAAGTAGACATTTCCAGGCCCCAACCAAGAGACTGATTCAGTGGTTCTAGCCAGGTAATTATTTTTTCCTATACAACAGGCAGACAACTTTCCCCTGTAGAAACCCTTCCCATTAAGGGTCTCAGTAATGTCTTTAGGAAAAATAAGGTTACCCTGGCTCTGGGGCTGCTACCTATCTATCTCCCCTCATACCTTCAAGAAGCTTTGTAGGGCATCCTGCACAGTTGCACTGAGAGGACTTTCAAATAAGGCTGTAGCAGTTTTTTTTTCTAGCCAGCCTAAGTGAGAGACCTGCCATCAAAAGATCAAGATGTAAATAAAAGGTTTAAGAAAAACCTTTAAGAGTAGTGAATAATCTGATCTAAAACCAAACAGCCATCAATAACATGAGCATTGAAGAAATGGAACCCACCAGACCAAGATGATGAAGCTGAGGACTAACCCTGGTAGAGATCAGTGTCAAAGCACGTTTAGGACCATTATGACAGCCCTGACATAGCTTACCTGGTAGCACCACCTGCCAAGAAGAAAGTGAGCCATGGGGTTTTCTGGCTGGAGAGCAATGGCTTTGTCCACATGCTCCTGAAGGAAAAACACAAATATAAAACATCAAATCAAAGAGAAGAGCAGCAAGGCACTGAGGTTGTAAGAAAGCCCTTCTAAGGGAGCTGGGTATGAATAGGCAATCCAGAATAGACCAGCCTAAGGGAAGAAGCTTATCCTCACCTTGAAACTAAAGCCACTCTGGATGCGCCTCTGGATGCCCTCATGCTCAGCCAACTGACCACAAAGCACTGCATACCTAAGGGGGGAAGCAGCAGCAAGCTCAAGGACTAGGTACTATCACTGCAAGGATCAGTGCCCCACCCATAGCCTAGTTGTGTTATCCTCTATCCCTCCATGTTCAAATAGAGCTAAAAGTATGATTTTCATTTTATTAATTCCCTCTCCAAGACCTGCAATTCCAGTTAGTATTTAATACACAGTGGTAGGCTTACAGTTCTCCAGAGTGTTATAGGCATTAAAAAGCTTGGCCCATCACATTAAATCTCTTCACATTTAGGAATATTTAGGGAAGCTGGAAGTGGTGTCACATGCATGTAATCCTAGCAACTCAAGCTGAGGCAGGAGGATTGCAAGTTCAAGTGCAGCCTCAGCAACTTAGCAAGAACCTGTCTCAAGGGGTTGGGGATGGGCTGGGGCTATATAGTTCATGGTAGAGCACTTGCCTCGCATGTGTGAGGCACTGGGTTTGATCCTCAGCACCACATAAAAAATAATAACAAAGATTTTTTTTAAAAAAGGGTTGGGGATGTAGCTCAGTGGTAGAGCACCACTGGGTTCAATCCCCAGTACGAAAAGTAAATATACATACTTAGGCAAGGTCTCGATACACATCTCTAAAATCTCCTCATATAGTACAAACATAGCTAATCATAAAAACTTGAAAAACCAGAAGACTAGAGGTGTAGTAGAACATTTGCCTAGCATGTGCAAGGCCCTAAGTTCCATCCCCAGCACTGCAAACAAAAAAGTAGAGAAGTGGGAGTACACATAAGTCAGCAGAAAACTAAATGACTTAAGTAGCTTGTTAATTGTCTCCTAAGCAAACACTAAAGGTAGGTCTTGGCCTTCGGAGTACACAGATATATCATCAGAATTTGGGAAACTATGCTCTCAGAATGGCCAAATTGGGTAAATAAAGGTATTGAGTCTCCAACTACACCTAAAAAGTAAATATTTAAAAAAAAAAAAACAAGGCCAAGCCTGGTACATGGTGCACACCAGTAATCCCAGCTACTCAGGAGGCTGAAGCAGGAAGACCAAAAGCTGAAGGGCAACCTCAGCAATTTCAGACCCTCTCTCAAAAAGACTAGACTTAAAAAAAAAGACTAGACTTGTAGCTAAGTGGTAGAGCACCCCTCAGTTCAATCCCTAGTACTTAGCGGGGCTGGGGGGTGGTTCTACGTTATCCACCCCAGCATTGTTTCTAGAAGCAAAATTGACATGCATTGAGTGCCTAACCAGGCCTTAGTTGCTTCATTTACTAAATACCTGGGGTTATCTGTATCAGACACTTCCAGAGGTTCATATCCATTGTTAATCAAAACAGCTGTTCCTCAGAGCCAGTTTTCATCCTTGGGATCCTTCCTAGACCAGGAAAGCAATGACACCCTGGAGAGTTACCTGGTCTCCAAGAACCCTTGCAGAGGAGGTTTCAGCAACAGAGAAGCACAGCCTCTCAGCTCACAATCTGAGGGCAGAGGCTTAGAAAGCAATGGAATAGTGAGAGAGGGAAAAAATATTTTCACTAAAACTCAGATGCTAAAATCAGGATTTTGGACATGGGTAGGTTTGACTAATAAGTTGGTAGAGTTTTGCTCACAAAAGACCACAAAAAGGGCTGATGTGTTTTGGGCTTTTTGTTTTGTGGTGCTGGGGATCAAACTTGGGGCCTCATGCTAAGTAAGCACTCTACCACTAAGTGACATCCCCAGCCCAGTAAGCTAATAATTGACCTTTCAGCTTCTTTGGCTTTGCTTAGTTTTTCTCATGCAAAGAAGCCAAGGTCCACCACCAGCCAGGGATCACAGCTAGAGGAAAGAAGAGTTTATGTAGGACAAGGGAGCAGCAAATTGCTCCAGTCTCCCTGAGGAGACAAGAACCCACAAGTTTTTATGGCTAGGGTCACTTTTACAAAGATACCCATTTCTTCTAGCCACAACAGGAAAAAAAGCTTGCTCTCCCAACTTGCCTCAGCCACAGAGCATCTCCCAAAGAAAATCTATGGTCCCTGACTGGGATAGGGTTAGCATGTAGAAATGCAGAGTAGAGCTCCCCATCCTGGATCCTCTGGCCAGGACAGAGAAAAGAAAGGTCTCTGTTCTGGCTCTTGCTGGCTCTTGTCAGAACCCTGCAGGGTGTTATTACCACTGGTGACATTCAGCACTCTCATTCCCCTTCTCCAGAGCAGCCTTTGCTTCTTCCTTTCCTGAAAGATAAAGGTAAATCTAGAATTGACATGGGCTCCCTTGTACACTTCCCTGGGAAGTGCTGTGGGAAAAATGAGTACTTTAGTTCTCACTAATACCTATACAATTGGGACTTACATGGAAATAGTTTGTGAAAAAGCTGTATATGGGTTCTCAAGGATGATTCCTCTTCACCTTGGAGAGGTGACCCATATCTGTCATCAGTGGCAAATGTATAAAATTTGATAAAATCCTCAAAAGGATCCACCACCTGCCCTAGTGCTGGGGATTGAACCCAAGACTTTCTGTTATGCTAGGGAAATACTCCACCAATGAGCTATACCCTCAGCCCAAAGCCACAACTCTTATAGGAGTCAACCGACTTCTGCATAGTTTTACCAAGTTTTCTAGGAACCAGACTAACAAAGACATCAAAGTCCAAACACATGAAAGCTTCTAATGAGGGTCCCTTAAAGTAAGAAGATGGAGTCCATAGACCTCCAGATGAGGATCGTTACAACCATACACTGGAAAAAAGACATTGCAAAAAGGGATTTTTCCTTTGATCAAAATGGAACAAAAGTAATATTTTGAGGTTGTCAGTTGGCTAATCTGTACTGTTTGCTCATATTTTAGTAATTTTTAAGGCAACTGATGCTGTAAAAGTCTCTTAACTCTCTTTTTCCAAACATAAAGGCAATGTGACCCCACCAGTGAGGGACATTATCTTTTAGGGTTTCTATCTCCTTCAAAACACTGTGTCACTAGGAAAATAATAGTGAATATGTGACAGCCAATTCTTACCAAGCTGGATAGTGGGATGGACAAATCATAGCTGAAGAGCCACAGAATGCCTTCCTTCTAGAGATAGAATAACTTGGGACCCAGTAAATCCCAAGTTTTCAATTTTGCCAGTATTTCAGTGACATCAATACAAGTACATTAAAAGAAGTTGGAAGCTGAGTGCAGTGTGGTGCATGCCTGTGATCCCAGCGGCTGGGGAGACTGAGGCAGAAGGATCACAAGTTCAAAGCTAGCAAAAGGCAGTAAGCAACTCAGTGAGACCCTGTCTCTAAATAAAATACAAATGCTGTGGATGTGGCTCAGTGGTCCAGTGCTCCTTAGTTCAATTCCTGGTGCCAAAATAAATAAATAAATAAAAGCTGGAAGTCATAATCTAGAGTTTGTAAATTACAAATTTACATCGTTACAATTTTACAAATTACATTGTTACAATTTTATTTTAGTTTAGCTATACATTATATACTATATTTTTTTATAGGTCTTCCACATCTGCGACAATGGGACAAAATGGACTTGACCCAATAAGGATAATTCTAAAAGACTACAATTCCAGAGCAAGACCTTCAAAGACATTCCATAGTCATCTAACCTCCAGTAGGAATAGACTTGTCCAGGAGTGCTAAACACAAAAACCAAACTAAACAAGTGCTGGCTGTGGATACTACTATGACCACTGCTCACCCCCTGTCTTCATGATTCATGCTGGCTGTTAGCACTAATAAGAAACAGTTTGCCCTTCGGCTTTCTAAGAAACACAATGGCAGTTCACAAGAACAGGAATCTTACAAAATGGAGCAAAAAGGGAAAAGAAAGTGGTTGGTCCATTTTCTAAGAAAAATAGGTATGATATGAAAATACCTGCTGTGTTCAATATAAGAAATAATGGCTACTCAGGAGGATTGCATGTTCAAGGCTAGCACTGGCAACTTAGTGAGGCCCTGTCTCAAGGTAAATAAAAAGGACTAGGGATGTAGCTCCATGGTAGAGCACCCCTGTATCCAATTCCCAGTATCCATCCCCCAAAAAATGGTTACAAAGATTTAAGGAAACAAAATTGCATCTAATAACCTCAAGGGTTGTATGTTTAAAGTTAGCCTTGTTGATCTACAAAATGGTAAGATTGCATAGAAAATTCAAACTAATTTCTGAGAATATTCAGACATACACTTCCTAACTTCTAGGGCATGGATCCCATGACAGAATGTTTCATGGCCACAAATGGCAGACCATTATTGAAGCTCATGATGATGTAAGAATACCAACAGTAGAGCTAGGTATGTGCTTAGTGATAGAGTGCTTGCCTAGCATCCACAAGTACCTAGGTTCAATCCCCAGTACCTTTAAAAAAAAAAAAAAAGTTATTTCCTTGTTTATTCTATGTTGGTTTTACTTAAAAATGTGATTATTAGATTTCGAAGACCTCTTATGCTCAGCACCAGTAAGTAGGTCTACCAAATCTAGATGGAAATCATAACTTTCGAAGTACAAATGACTTGAAAGATGAAGCCAATAAACTGATTCTATACAGCATTGGAAAGAAGCAAGGTTTTCCAATCTCCTTTTCATGATATCATTTGTTAGTTTAAAAAAAGCTAAAGAAATTAAAGTTTGAGTTGAAAAACTGATAGGACTTCATAGAGAAGGCAGCAGCTCTGGAAAAGGTATGGAGGGTGAGACAGGTGCTAAAGATGATTGAGCTGATGGATGTGAACCACCACTCCCAGAATCTTTCTAAAATTCAGACTTTTCATAGTAACAAGTAAAAAGTCCCATTTGGGGATGGGTTGGGTGAGAAATTATCAGAGGAAAAGAAAAAGTTGTTGATACCAAGATATCAAAAAAAAAAAAAAAAAAATCAGCCCAAAAGCTGATCAGAATCCTCACCTGAAATTTAGGAGGGGCAGCAGATGCTTTTGAAGAAAAAAAAAAAAAAAAGTAAAAGCACCTTCTCTTAACTTCCAGGTACCTTTGAGAGTCTGTATCAACTCTAAGTTTCTCCATCAATAGAATTCTAATAATATTTAGAATGCTGACCTTGAAGTATTGTCAGATTCACATTTTCAAAGGTTCAGTAACATTTGGGCTGGGTTTATGGCTCAGTGGGAGAATACTTGTCTAGCACGTGCAAGGCCATGGGTTTAATCCTCAGCACCACATAAAAATAAATAAAATACAGGTATTGTGTCAAACTACAAAAAAAAAATAAATATTAAAAGAAAAAAGATTCAGTAACATTTGTAGGGTTGTCTTAAGTGGGAAAAATTACAAATCCATATTAGTCAGTCACCTTATAATGAACCGGATCATATACCTGGAAGCCCATTTAGGTGCCTGACATAGGGTGTGTGGCAAGGTAGGGTTAGGGATAGTCTCACTTTTTTTTTTTTTTTTTTTTGCAGTATTGGGGATTGAACCCAGGAGCACTCTACCATGGAGCTACATCCTCAGCCTGTTTTTTTAATATATTATTTAGAGACAGAGTCTTTGCTAAATTGCTTAGGGCTTCAATAAGTTTCTGAGGCTGGCTTTGAACTTGCAGTCGTCCTCTCCTGCCTCAGCCTCCCAAGTTGCTGGGATCACAGGCATGTGCCACCATGCCTGCCCTCCTCAGCACTCTGTTTTGAGACAGGGTCTCCTTAAGTTGATTGATTGGACTGATCTTAAATTTGTGATCCTCCTGCCTGAGCCTCCCAAGTAGCTGGGGTTATTGGCATGCACCATCATACCTAGCTCACATCAGTCTTGTTTAAAGAGTCCACCCTCATGACAAACAAGGACAAGCCCAGAGCCTGGCACAGGTCTGATATACCCTATCCTCCACAGTACTTAGACAACAGATTTGCTAAGTGGATATCAGGGATTTCTACACTAGCAGTAAACTCCCAAACTGCTTCTTAAGTGTTCACCATATATACTCATATTCTCAGAACACCTGCCACATAGACAGTATAACTAAAACCAGATTCCTAAACAGCAACCAGAAACCTTGAGTTCTACCTCCTTTCCAGTTAAGAAAGGAGGCTTTGCCAAGCATGGTGGCACACATATATAATCCCAGCAACTCAAGAGGCTGAAGCAGGGGCTGGGGTTGTAGCTCAGTGGTAGAGCACTTGCCTAGCGTGTGTGGGGTACTGGGTTCAATTCTTAGCACCACATAATAAGTAAATAAATAAAATAAAGGTCCATCAACAACTAAATATTTAAAAGGGGGGGGGGGGTGAGGCAGGAGGACTATAAGCTCAAGACTTAGCAAGACCCCGTCTCAAAAACTGAAAAGGGCAAGGGATGTAGCTCAGTGGTAGGCATCCCTGGGTTCAATCCCCAGTATCACAAAAAAAAGGTAAAGGCTTTGCTTCTCTTATGCTTGAGGAGTAAGAACAAAGACTAATGCTAACATGATACAACTACCCTTAAAATCATGTGCTCCTGTGTCAATTACTATGACATGCAAAGAGGTAAACCGCTGTATGTCAAAAAACAAGAGTCCCTGAAAACCCGAGTTTATCCCCTAGTGAGTAAGCCACAACTCATAGCCAACATCCGGTGGTTCCCCTGAGTAGATGAACCACCTGTACCTCCACAATCAGTCACTTTCCCACTAGGAACCTCTCAGCACCTACCATTTAGGGCATATGACTTCTTCTCATTCACCTCCTCAGTGAGCTCACACATGTCACTGTAGGCCCGGGCCAGGCGCCAAAGAAAGTCCTGTCGGCTTCCATACTGTGAAACAAACAGGAATGCGACACCACATCCTCAGTTTAATTTTCAAAGATAGTGTGTTACAGTCACTAACATGAGGCCAACTGCTATGCAGTCTTCCCACTCCATAGACCTCCCAGGTTCAGAACTGATGACGCATCTCTAGCTGATACCTTGCATAATCACAGGGAAGGGCACCCTGGCCTTATACTGCTAGGGGAAAGGTCAAATCCAAGAAGATACAGAGGGACACAGCAAGAGGAGTCTTGCTGACACGAAAAAAAGTGTGAAGGTGCCCAAGAAAAGAGCGCTTGAGTGCTCTACACACTTGTTACTTGTGATAGAAACTTCAAGTTAGAGCAGACAGATTGAGTTCTACCTCAAGGAAAATAAGAGGAGGGGTACCCATTCCAGTCCTTTCCCCATTTCCCCCTACAGAGAGAGTAAGAGCTTATTTTGAATCCATAGGAGGCAGAGAACTATACTTCTCTTCCTCAGCAGGAAGAAAGCTCTGGGGCAGATAGTACCCCGGCTGGGCCTTCTTGGAAAATGATGTGCAACCTGGGGAGCACAGGCAGAACTAGCCATCTCATTCCCATGTTCCTTCCCATGTTATCTTGCAGGGTCAGTCACCATATGGGCCTTTCTTCATTCCCTATGGGTCAAGAGATAAGGGAGGGAGAAGAGGGGAAGCAGACAAGCAGTTGGAGCCTCACCGCGAGCTTGTTGTTGAGCAGCAGCTGGAAGCCCTCACGCTTATTCTGCTCACTGCCCTGGTGTAGCTCATCAGCCTGCTGCAGGAGGGGCAGCACATCCTCATGACCCAGAGAGACTTCAGCCTCTAAGACACCAGATGCTGGACCTGAAGCTGCTTCCACCTCCAGCTCCAGAGAATCCTTTCTTCCCATCTTTACAGTTTCACAGCTCACTTCATCTTCCCCTTCATCCTCACTCTCCTTGTCAGAGTCTCTCTCATAGTCAGACTCAGCATTGGCTGTTGTATAACTGGCAGAGAAATATAAATAACAGGGTCAACTCAGCTGATTATTCCATTCAAATCCCTAGGGTCTAATCCTTCAGCCATAAAGAGGCTCTAGCATTGTTGTACAGTGTACCAAATAAGAATCATGTCCATCCCTTAATGGTAGAATTAGTCTTCAAGAAAAAGCTTCCTATGGGAACTGTGGACTAGGAAAATTATCAGGGAGAGTTAGAGTATTGAAGTGGGGGCCCTGTGCTGGTCAGGGCCAATATCAGAATGCTTTTTGAAGACCACCAAACCTGCCAGAAAACGAAAAGGGAAAAAGCTCAGAAAAGTATGTAAAAAGTGCTTGCCAGTAAATCTCTTAGTACAGAGAAACAAAGTCATTTTTCTTCTTTTAAAGTGCTTCAGTAAACACACACACACACACACGTGTGTTCATGTTTTGTTTGTGCATACGTGCAGTACTAGGGACTGAACCCAGGAGTTCTCTACAACTCAGCTACAGCCATTTTTATTTCCAGGTGGGGTCTTGCTAAAATGCCAAGGCTGGCCTCAAACTTTTAGTCCTCCTGCCTCAGCCTCTGGAATGGCTGGCTTTTTAAAAAAAATAAAATAAAATAGTGTTTTAAAATAAGCAGCAGGGGCTGGGGTTGTGCTCAGCAGTAGAAAGCGCTCACCTAGCACATACGAGGCCTTGGGTTCGAACCTCAGCACCACATAAAAATAAATAAATAAAACAAAGGTATTGTGTGCATGTACAACTAAAAAAAATTTAAAAATAAATAAAATAAGCAGCAGACTGGAGTGTGGCTCAGTGGTAAGCACTTGCCTACCATACCTTGTGAGGCCCTGGGTTTGGTCCCAGCACTGAATGGGGGGAGGTGGGAAATACATACATGCACATACCTACACACTCACACCTTAAAGATATACGTGGAGCTGATCTCCTGAGGTGGAGTGATCACAGTCTAAGGATTTGCTAATCATCTTTGTTTTATCAGTCAAAAGCACCTGCCAGAACCAACATGGGTGAGTGCCAGCTTATGAAGCAACAGGCAGTCACACATCCTTGTTTTCCCCCCTCCCACCCTATACTGGGGATTGAACCCAGTGGTGCTCTACCACTGAGCTACATACCCAGGCCACCTCCCAGAGATCCCCCCCCTTGTTTTTTTTGAGATGGTAGTCTCGAGTTGCCCAGGCTGGCCTTGAACTTGCCATCCTTCTATTGTAGCCTTCTGAATAGCTGGTATTACAGGCATGGACCACCACACCTGGCAGATATTCTTTGTTAATTAAACCTGTACCACTGACCCAAGTCAACAACCAAACCTGTAATAACAGGAGAAGCCCTTGGGAACTTGAGGGAGTAGTTGAGTGGTAGAGGCCACTTTGCATCTGAAAGAAGGAGAGAAAATGCAAACTACACCCTAGGGAGCTCCAACCCTGATGTATCCACTGAAGAAGCAGCTAAGTTTCTCTTGGATCTCTCTCCATCAGGAGCTGATTAACTGCCAATTAAATCAAACATGAACTAGACAGGGGAGAAGGTAGGACTTCCAGGGGCCAGAAGAAGATACAAGAGAGCCCTTGAGTCTGAGTGAAGGGAAAACAGATTCTATACTGAAACACAGGAAGATCCTAGTGTCCTTTGCAGGTAAACCTTCCTACTTCCTGGAGTAAAAGGTAAGGATAGTCTCTCTATGGTTGGTGCAAAACTAAAGGAGGAGAGATGAAGGAGACAAAGTAAATACAAAATAGCCTAAAGTCGGGTTAAATGTTGAACACAAAAGTAGTCTTCCTCATCTAGAAAGTCAGAGACTACAAGAGTACAGGCAGGCTCCAGAAGGTGCCAAGTGAGCAAACAGATCTGGTGTGCTAGTCTAAGCATGCAAATTTCCTCTTTATAGAGGAGTCTATTGGGGGGGGGGGGGGGTGGCCAAAAACATCCACTATAAGAACTTGAATTTTAAATCTCCCTAACCTCACCTTTCTTTTCAAGAGATTATCCAAGTATCTTTTGCTAGCAATTTGCAGTAAAACCTTTAGAAATTAAAGGGACAAGGAAAAATGATATCCAATTTCACAACTAACCTAGGTAGTGCCAAAAGACCAGAGAGGGGCAACCAAGAGAAACTCCCAGCTAAGCTCTAATGCTTGGACAATAACTTGACTTGGAAGAGAAAATCAAACCAGAGTCTACTCTGCCTAGCTAGATTCAAAGGCAAATGAGCAAGTGGTTTATTTGGAGTGAGAGCTTATATCTAGAGAGGGGAAGACCATATTCTGGACTAGACTAAGGACTGCCTCAGACACTTTAATTCAAAATAGGAGTCTCATCCTCCAGCACATCCAAGGAGGGAACACTGTTCTCACCCTGCTAAAGCTAACCAGAAGGAAGAGCCTGCAGTACTGCTATCCCCTTGAGGCCTAAAGGCAGAGCTCACACAGCCAAGGAGAAGCAAAGTTCAGCAGGGGCTTGCCACCACAAGAGTGACAGCTGGTACAGTCCTGTGAGGCAGGGAGGATCTGAGGAGGCTGGCATGGGGAGGACTTTGTGCCTTACCCCACTTCAAGGAGTTCAGCCTTACCAACCTGAAGCCCCACTGCCTGGAATCAGCCCACAGGTTTCCAGGGCCTGAGATTTATCACATGCAGGGACACTACATTTGCACCATTCCCTCACCTTACACCTGCTGCACTACCAATCTAGCCCTTATGGGTGGCCCTTTTCTTTAATATACCTTCAGGCTTGAGTTGCTAGGCACAAGCAGGACCTTTGAAAAGGCCCTTTGGACATGTTGTTTCCACAGTGGACAGGAGACCAAGCTACCCTCTATTCCTTAAGGAGAGCCCACTAGTCAGAAATAGAGTACTGAGTTACACATGTACCCTCCTGGCAATTAAGTTTCCTTCAATTCCTAAACCCCACTAGAGGGGCTGAGCCTGGGCATTCAGAGATGACTAGGCATGACCCCTGACCCTGAGAAGGAGAGAAGACAAGACCCAAATAAATGATGTTATAAATGCCCAAGGAGGAGTGAAGGTGAAGGTGAGGTTGCCGGCAACCTGCTTGGCTGGAATACCTGGAAAGCCTGGCTATAGGAGCTGATGTTTTAAGGCACGTTGGATTCTGCCAGGGAAGGAACTCAAACTGTAGTACAATGCCATGGAAACAAGTTCACAAAACTGCACAGGGATTGTGCCTCTGCCAATCAGTCTGTCTCCTGGAAGCTCAAAGTTGTTATATATTTGGAAGAAAGAACACCACTTTCATTGTAACACAGTAGCCCATCAGATCTCATTCTTTCACCCCTCAAAGAAGTTCTCTCCTTCCCAAGGCCCACATGCCAAAAGCCATGTCAGAGTTTGTGGACTCTTCCCAGAATATTCCCCCTTGACCTATATGGCACCTTCCATGACAAAAAAGAATTATTCACCATGGCCGCTGCCCCAGATAGCAGCCTGCTAAGCCAGAGTCTTGCACCATTAATGGCTTTCATGTACCACAGGACTGGTCATGGGACTCAACCTGCTGGAACTATAATTAAGAAAGCCACCCATCCTTTTGGTGGCTGAAAGCCCTACCTTGCTCCTTGTGACCTTCGAAGTTCCAGTGAGTACCCACAAGTTATGTACCCTAGTAAACCACTCTGGCTCTAACTCAGCCCAGAAGTTATATCTATATCTATATCTATATATATATATATATATATATATTTTTTTTTTTTTTAACTCATGAAGGGCCTGGAGTTCCACATCCTGATTCCTGATTTTGGACAAAGTTGTGACTTCTCCTTCCATGCTTCCCTCTTAGAAAATCCAAACATCAATTACCCATCCACACGTGACCTTCTCCCTTGGGTTGTACAGAAATGCTCATTAGGTCTCAGTGTCCCCTATCAACTACTTCATCCTTCTCTTTCTTTGCCATTTGGATGTGTCAAATATTCATTTCATTTTTGCTCTCTCCTCTTAACAGCCTTTGGAAGCATTTCACAGCCCAGAGCTATTAGGTAAATTGAATAGAAAACAACCACTTTTGCTACCCTTGAGAATACAGAAAATTGGGATCAGACAACCCAGGAAACAGTCATCATGAATGAAGGACTATAGCTAATGCATTAAGACTTCAATTGTTTTAGCTGGGGGTAGCACTCATGAGGCCTGGATTCAATCTCCAGCACCAAAAAATTTTCAAAGACTTCACTTATTTCAAAAGGCACATGAACAGTGATCAAATCCAGCATTGTGACCAATGGCAGTGATATGGAAAAAGAATGATTTTCTTAGAAACTCAAATGGGTGCACACATAGCTCAGTGGAGGGGGGCTTACCTAGCACACATGAGGCCCTGAGTTTGATCCCCAGCATCACAAAAGAAAAGGAAAAGACAGGAAAAAATATCCCAAACAACTAAACAAGTTACTTGAGTAAGTTGTGCAAAACTACCACTGTGCTTCCAGCCTTCCCTGGCTAGAAGTGGGCAAATGAACCGCGGCGATTCCACTTCACAGTGTAGCCTATGGTCAGACCTGAGAAATTAGGAGTTACCTCCCCACTGTGAAGAGGAAAAGGAGCTTGAGCAAGGCTCATGGAATCTCTGAGAGAGAGGGTGCAAACTTTGTGCTTAGAGACCTCTGCTTACCTTGCTCGGCCACTCAAGGAAAGGAACAAAGTCAGGAAACAATAGTTATAAAATTCTTGTGATAATACAGAAAAATGCCCAAATTAATAAAAAATATAACTGTAAAAAATATAACTGAGAAAAATAACAAATGGAAATAAAACCACTGTTAACATTTCCATTCTTCTGAATGACAAACTGGATGGGATATTTGTTTCAACTGTTTGGTTTCAATTATTCACACCCTTACCTTGTTCCAAAAATTTAGAGTGGCTTGGTTTGAATTTTACTTTGACAAATAATACTTTTACAAAACCACCTGGTTACAGCCACAATTGCCTCCAGGAGAGACTCACCCTCCTTCACTCTCAGCATCTGTGAATGCAGCTCCAGAGGAGGCTGTGAAGTAGACAGAGCTGGAACCAGTAGAGTCACTCCGCTCCCGGGCAAATGGGAACCTCCGTCGCCGAACCGCTCTCTGATTCTCCTCCATGTGGGATCTGCAAGGTAGAGTCCATTTCAGAGGGACCATTAGATACAGCCTTTTTTCCCTCACTCCTCCTCACTAAATGGCCCAAAGCAGAGAAAATCCTGGGTTTCCACCCTAAGAGCAAGAAAGGCAGCACCCTACATGGCAGACTAGGTTGGACAGAATGAAGAATGTCAGCTGCTACAATGGATCATGAGGAGCCAGAAGCAACGAGCTTGTGCAAGGTAAGAAACCCAATGCACAGCTTCCCCACTAAATTAGGTTAGAAACTATAGAACTGGCTCCTTCTTAAAGATGGCCAGCAACGGCCAGAATGCTACAGCTGAAAAATTTTTAGGGGCAAGGAAAAATTGAAGGGTAAGAGAAACAAAGCAAGGGAGGAGGCTGTATTACTCACCGGACCTCCCCAACAATCTCCCCAGCAAGCCCTTGAAGGCTGCTCCTCAACTCCTCCACCTCCCGCCGTAGTGCCACAAGACTGGTCAGCACAAAGTCCAGGCGGTCCAGCACCTTCTCCTGCCCTTCCTGTGGAAGGCTGGGTAACACCGCAGCATCTCCAGCTTCACCTGGGACAGCTCGCAACAGCATCGCTGAAGGAAGGGGGTAACCAGGAGACAGACACACATGGGATGTGGTGAGGAAAAGATCTCACACCTAGAATTTTGAACCACTTGCTTCTTATTGGAGTTCAATATACAGAGACGATCTTGAGGCTCAGATAGCTTACAATCACAGCTAAGTGTTAATAACAAGTCCCAAGTAACTATTCAGAAAGAAACTAAGTTCCTAGTCTCTACAAAAAAATGCCCTGTACTCCAAGAACCTTCCACACCAGGGCCCTTCAGCAAAGCCGTGCACAGCAGATAATGTGAAATGCTTACAAGGATGCAAGACCTAGGAGGCAGGACAGCTGCCCTATTAGAGTAAAAGAAAGGTCTTTAACTGACCTTATAGTGCCAAATACCAGGCAATCAATACCAACTAACAGCAAAATTAACCTTGGGCTCACCCAAATTCTGATCTCTCATTTCACAAAGAATAGTAAAGTACACTTCTCTTCATTTAGTATTGTCAGAGAGGAAAAAAAGAAAGGGGGAAGCCAGTTACCAAGAAAAGTTACACTGGAAAAAGCCCATACAAACTCCATCAGAAAAACACCATTACCAAGCCCCAACTACCCAACCCTGACTTGAGCTCTGGGTGAATTCCAACAGTGAAATGCTAGCCATTGAAGAGCCACTTAAGTCAATTGGGCTAAACAGGAAAAAAATGAGGAAGACAGAATCCACAGAATAGGAAAGCTGAGATCACTTCTTCAAGGAAATCTAGTAACAATGTAAACCAAACTATAATACATACCCCACAGGGTTCAAGAATGTAGAGCAAGAAATACCTCTGAGATTGTGGTCACTTTCCCAGCCTCAGTAGTAAGACAGACTACTACTAAGAAACTACAAACAAATTAAGAAAACCAAAGGAAAGACAAATGCACCCAGCATGTCACATTACCACTGTGTTATGAAATGCTAACAATCAATTGCAGTCTAAGGTAGTAACTTTTTTTGTTTGTTTTTGGGGATTGAACCCAGGGATGCTTAACCACCAGCCACATCCCCCAGGCCTTTTTATGTTTTATTTTGAGACGAAGCCTTGCTAAGTTGATGAGGCTGGCTTTGAAATCAAAAAACTCCTGCCTCAGCCTCCCAAGCTGTTGGGATTACACTATGCACCACTGCACCCAGATAAGGTATAACTCTTGAAACACTCCTCCAAAACAGCTTTCTAAACCATCTGATTTTGTATGCCAGAGAAAACATTCTTTTCCAATTAACACAAGGTGAGAGGATCTAAATGATCCTCCATCACACAAATCGGGGGAGTAGTTTGAACCAGCCCTATATCCTTTGCTCAAAGGAATGAAGGTGAAAGTTTTACAAATTTCAGCTGCTGGCTTCCAGCCATATTCAGTTTCAATTGCATGAGCATGCTCCCAGCCCAGGCTGCAATAGTAAGGTGGAAAGTACTCTGGACCAGGTGACTAGGCCCAACCTTGCCACTTATACTCTGACAACCTCTGGGGAGTTACACAATCTCTCTGAATCTTTATTTCTTCATAAGAAGACTAAAAAGCTTGAATTAGTCTCCAAGTTCCCTTCAGGTTCTAATATGTAATTTAATATATGAACTCTGACTTTTAATTTCTACAAGATTAGTTATTCCTTTTGCCTTGTTTTGAACTCTTATTACACACCTCACCCAAAACTAAGAAAGTGCCTTTAATACATACAGCATTACTGTAGCCAGAACTAAAACCGAAAGCTAAATGATCTTTTCACAATATACTTTCCTGGAATTATAGAGGAAAGAGTACAGAAAAGGAGATACCTTTTGTTTTCAATAAGTTTTCCAAAAAAAAAATTAAACCCTCAGGCAACCTCCTCCGCTGCCTGTCCCACAAGTTCTGCCAAAGGCAGCTCGTACCTAGGCCTATCAGTCAACAGGCTGACCTCCGTTTCAGGCTCCTTACCCTGGCGTCCAGGCTCTGAAGTCTGAGCGCAGTCCAGGGAGTTGGGCAGGATCTGGCTCCCGCCATGGCGCTGGGTCCGTTTCCATCGCTGCCTGTAAAGGATGCACAGGAATCCAAGGCCGGCGGCGGAGCCAAGCAACAGTGCCAGCCCCGCGCGGGCGCCACCCAAGGCCCCCAGTCTAGACATGCTGCACCTGCAACCCGCGTAAAACACGGGAGCGAGCGGGCGGAGAGGAAGAGATTCGTGAGCCTGGTCCACCCACCCGCAAAGCCGACCCGACAGATATCCCTTTACTCTAGGCTGCTGACTACCCTCACAACAATCCCGACCCTAAGGTTCCGCCAGCTCCCTGGCCCTGGCTATCGCGCCCCTCTCCCAGCCTGGCCGTAGCCTTCCTTCCAACACGCTCTCTGACCCTGATCAGAGTCTGGCTTCTGAGTCTTTGACCCCCACCTCGGCCCACCACACTGCAGACAAACTCGTTACCCTGGCCTCCTCAAGTCCCCTAAGCCACTCGCGCCCGGCAGGAAATAACTCAGACCCTTACCCAGCCTCCAGCCACCATGGCAGCAGCAGCAGCCGCCGCGGCCTCACGCTGTCAATGATCGTGACGTCATTAAACTGCGCCGTCAGCTCACCGCAGACAGGCGCACAGCGATGACCCTACCCGCCTCCGAAGGTCCAGTGGCGGTCAGAGGGGCGGGGTCAGAGCGGGGAGGGGCGGGGAAAGGGGCCGAGACCCCAGAGAAAACTGGGAGGTTTTAGGGCCAGATCTCTTTCCAGAACCCCACCGTCTGGCCATCTAGGATTTCATTTCCCACAAATCACATCAGTTTATCTGCTGCTCCCGGTATTTGCCACGCTTTCTACCTTCGCTTCTACCTGCAAAAGACGACCTCTCTACCTAGAAAACGCCACTCCCCAGCTTTTCTTTACGGTGTCTTAGCGCAGACTTACTTTCATTTAGGCTTAACAGTTTATGGGCTTCCTACTCAGACCGTGTACTAAATTCTAGACAGTAGCGCCTTTGGCAGATCAAATTAGAATAGGTAGACTGCTGGTTATCCATGAGAAGTCCCCCAGTCCCTGGGGCCAGCTTCTGCCAGCTAATGCTTAAATTCACATCATAGAACTGGCTCAATGGTGTTGCGCTTAGCATGCACAAAGCTTGGGGTTAAAGCCCCAGCATTCCACCCTCACCGACAAAACAAAGAAACAAAATTCAAATTATAGCTGCATATACAACACTAAAAAGTCGTTCTTGCCGGACGCGGTAGCGCACGCCTGTAATCCCAGCTGCTTGGAGGCTGAGGCTGGAGGATGGCAAGTTCAAAGCCAGCCTCAGCAATGATGAGTTGCTAAGCAACTCAGTGAGACTCTGTCTCAAAATAAAATAAAAAGTACGACTGCTTATGTGGCTCAGTGGTCGAGAGCCCCTGAGGTCAATCCCTGATACCAAAACAAGCAAACAAAAAACAGTCGTTCTTACATTAACGGGGACAGGATTATAAACTTTTTCCACTTCCAGAATGGATAGAATCTTTTATCTGATGATAGAATCTAATGGATTGTTGTTGTTGTTGTTGTTTGGTTTTTGTTACTGGGGATTGAACCCAGAGACACTTTACCCTAAAAGCCACATCCCCAGACCTTTTTATTTTTTATTTTTGAGACAAATTCTAAGTTGCTGAGCCTGGCCTTGAATTTATCCTTCTGCCTCAGTCTCCCCAGCACCCAGCTGATTATTGTTCTAAAACATTGGGGTTTTTTAATGCTTATTACTTTTTTAATATTTATTTTTAGTTGTAGTTGGATACAATATCTTTAGTTAATTTATTTATTTTTATGTGGTGCTGAGGATTGAACCCAGGGCCTCACCATGCTAGGGGAGCACTCTACCACTGAGCCACAAACCCAGCCCAAAACATTATTGTTTTTAAACATCTGGGTGAGGCTGAAATTTGAGTTGACCTAAGAATTTGTTCACATGCCATTTCAAGTTTTGTTGTTTTTTCTATGTTGGTAAGTTTTTCATCCCTGGATTCTTTTATAAGTTCATTTTACTCTTGTGGTGTTTACTCTTGCAACTTCTTGTAATTTTAGAAACTAAAAAGGATTTTATGGACTGTGATTTCAGTTTTATTGTTATCAAGAATTTCTTGCCAGTGGTGATGGAGCACTCCTGTAATCCCAGCTGCTCTAGTGGCTGAGGCAGGAGGATCCCAAGTTCAAAGCCAGCCTCAGCAATTTAGTGAAACTCTCAGAAATTTAGTTAGACCTTGTTTAAAATAAAAATGAAAAGGGCTGGGAATGTAGTTCAGTGGTTAAGCACCTCTGAGTTCAATCCCCTGTACAAAAAAAAATAATAATAATAAATAATTTCTTAACAAAGTTTAGTTTGTCATCACATTGTACCCCATAAATATGTACAATTACTATGTGTCAATATTTTAAAAATTTATATGCATTAAAAATTTTGGAGGGTATAGTGACTGCAAATATCTAGGCCAGTCCTCCCAAGATCCTTGATTAAACCCTATATTTATCTTTTAATGATGAAATACTTTACATGTACAAGAATATATTTAGCTGAGTGTGGTGGCAAACTCCTATAAATTCCAACTACTTGGGAGGCTGAGGCAGGAGGATCACAAATCCAAGACTAGCCTGGGGAACTTAGTGAGACCCTGTCACAAAATAAAATTAAAAAAAAAAAATAGGGGTTGAGGATGTAACTGGTATGACACTCGCCTAGCATGCTTGAGGTCCTGAATTACACAATATCCAGCCCCACAAAACAAACAGAAGGAATACACTTAATATTTAATGTATAAGTACAAAAATATTTAATGTGTATGAACATTGTAATGAATAATGCCATGAGGTTTAAATAATAAAACTTCATCAATACTTTCTACTAAATTTTAAAGATTAATTTCAGTATCTTTTCATTAACTATGTAATATCCCTTTTCAGTTTTTTTTTTCTCATTTTTGTGTAATAAGCCTGCATTGCTTCTATAATAAAAAAAAGATATTAACTTTATTTTTAAGGACACAAAAACTCATTTCCTCTGGGAAACTTTCCCAGACCTCCCACCAGGCTAGAATTAATCTCTTCATTTTTCTTTGCTCTGGAGACTCTGTTACCCTCACAACACTGATTATTTGCTTTCTAATCTGTCTAACCCAATAGACTGCTCACTCTCCCAGGGCAAGTGTCATTCACCTCAACGTTTCTTGTGCCTTGCACAGTTCTAATCCAGAAGCCGTCCATAAAAGCTGATGGAGAAAGAAAGGAAAGCACCTGTTGCTTTGATGATACTTTCTCAGATGAGAAAAAGCTCAATTACAAAAGAACAATTTCTCCTGTCTTTACTGGGGAGGTGGCTGTGCTAGATAAACTAAGATAAGATATCTTTAATTTCCTCCTGGATATTAAAGATATTATCTGGCAGGCATGAGGCTGTCAGGGCGGTCCGCAGTGCAGGGAATGTTTCAGGATGGAGCTCTCTATCTTATGCTGCATCTGCAGACCAGTTTTACAAATGCAATAAAGCCTGAGAGATGACTGCCCTCCTGTCTTCTCCCCAGGCACTCCACATCCCAGACTGAGAGAAGTGAGCTGATGTGACTCCCAAACTCTTGTCTTGCCTTCTGCCCAGAACATCTGCCTCATTACCTGGCTCTGCCAAAAGAGCAAACAAGTCCAACCGTTCAATGCTTTGGGATGGTGGCCTTATCCCTTGTTTCTAATCTCTACAGCTATGGACATTAAAAACAAAAACAAAAAACTGTTCTTATTTTGGCCTGGGACAGTGGCACATGCCTATAAATCCAGCTATTTGTTGCAGCGGGGAAGGCAGGTAGATCACAAGTTCCAGGACAACCTGAGAAATGTAGTGAGACCCTGTCTCAAAATTTTAAAAGATTGAAAAGGCTGGGATGTAGCTCAGTGGTAGAGCCCCACTGAGTTTCAAATCACTAGCACCTACCCCCTGCCAAAAAAAAAAAAAAAGCCCTTGTACCTGCTTTTTGGTGTGCCCCTGTGTGTCCTCTCCATCGCATCTCTTCCCTTCTCTCGCAGAAGTTATGACTCCCTGAATATTATATTATACGTATGCTCTCCTAATTTTTTTTTTTTGGTAGTGTGGATTGAACCCAGGGGTCCTTAACCACCGGACCATATCCCCAGCCCTTTTTATTTATTTATTTTTAAATATTTTTTAGTTGTAGATGGACATGATACCTTTATTCATTTATCTTTATGTGGTGCTAAGCATCAAACCCAGGGCCTCACACATATTAGGTGAGCACTCTACACTGAACCACAACCCCAGCCCTTTATTTTTTTATTTTGAGATAGGGTCTAACTGAGTTGCTACCCTGCCTCAGCCTCCTAAGCCAGGCACGTGCCACCTCACCCAGCAATCCCCTATTCTTTTTTTTTTTTTTAATATTTATTTATTTATTTATTTATTTTTGGCAGACACAACATCTTTGTTTGTATGTGGTGCTGAGGATCGAACCTGGGCCGCACGCATGCCAGGCGAGTGCGCTACCGCTTGAGCCACATCCCCAGCCCCCCCATTCTTATTTATAACTTGATTACGTATGTTTTATGAAAATGAAAGGAACACCATATGGAAGCAACATTGATAGAACTTTTCAAAATGAAGTAGGAGGCCATTAGGGAACAGAACTTCGGCCTCCAGCTGCTGCCTGGAATTTGAACCTTGGTCGCCCCCACTCTTTGCAGGCCTCTGGCACAACCAGGTAATTATAGTGTTTCCAGAGAATCATGATGGACTCATTATGGACTTTTCCATTTGGCTTATCCCTTATTTCTTTACTTACTATTGTCACGCAGTCCATGTCAAGTAGCATTTACATTCTTTTCCAACTTCAATGAGAGTTTCTCTTGAAACAATTTTAATTACTGCCATGGTTTGGATGCATATCCCCCAAAGGTCCAGGTGTTAAAGGCATAGTTGCCAAGTCAGTACTATTGAGAGTGCCAACTCCCAATGGGACCTTTAGGAGATGGGGCCCAGTGGGAGGTCCTTAAGTCACTGGGGGTGGGCCTTTGAAAGGGATTATGGAACTCCAATCTTTTTCTCTTTGCTTCCTGGTTCCTGATGTAAGCCATCTATCTGCTCCACCATGCACTTCTACCATGATGAGCTACCTTCACTAAAAATGCAGTGCAAAGGACCCACCCAATCTTGGACTAGAACTTCTATAATCATGAGCCCAAACAAAACTTTTCTCTTTATAAGTTGATTGTATTTGGTATTTCATTGCAGTAAAACAAGCTAACTAAAGCAATTACCTTGTAATGACTTAAAAGTCTTTAGCCATCATAAGCTCTACGGAAAGTAGAGCTTCCTGCCTCCTTTGAACATCGATTCAGAGATATGTGAACCTGTATCTCCCAAATTGCAATTTCTAGGACCCCAAATAAGGTTCTTTCATGTTTAAATTGATTGATAGTTTTTATTCTGAAACAATGTATTTACTTTGACATGTCTGTGAGAGCCAGGCATGGTGTCACAGACCTGTAATTTCAACTACTTGAGAGGCTGAGGCAGGAGGAGCGCAAGTTCAAGGCCAACCTGGACAACTTAGTGGAACTCTGTCTCAAAATAAAAAATAAAAGGGGATATGGATGTAAAGCACCCTAATTTAATCCCCAGTGCCACAAAACAAACAAAATGTTTTCGAGCTTCATTTAATTAGAATTATTTTATATTTTTCCAAGACTTGCTTTTTCACTCAGCATTTTCTTTGCTATAAAGTTTCTATTGTATGAGGAGCTGAGGCTGGAGCTCAGTGGTAGAGCGCTTGCCTGGCACGTGTGAGGCACTGGGTTCAGTCCTCAGCACCACACAAAAATAAGTAAATAAAATAAAGGTATCACATCCAACTACAACTAAAAAATAAATATTTAAAAAGTCTCTGCTGTATGAATCTACTAAAAGCTTTTACTATAGTCTGCTTGTGATAGATAATAAGGGCTGTTTCCAGATTTTTGCTAATTACAGTGTTGCTGTGGATATTCTTGTAAGTGTACTGGCTGCAGGAGAGACTTTCTGAGGTTTATGTAAGAGATGTTTGGCTGCATCACAGTAGATGCACATTTGATTGTATCAGTCACACCAATTTGCAATCCCAAAGGTAAATAGTTTAGTTGTTAGATATCACCAACACTTGATATTCACTATTTATTTATTTATTTATTTATGTACTGGGATGGAATTCAGGGCCTCGTGCATAGAAGGCCAGCACTCCACCACTGAGCCACACCTTGAGCCTTTTTTTTTTTTTAATAATCTTTTTAGTTGTAGGGGGACACAATACCTTTACTTATTTATTTTTATGTGGTGCTGAGGATTGAACCCTGTGCCTCACATTCACACTAGGCAAGTGCTCCACCACTGAGCTACAACCCTAGGCCCCACAAGCCCTTTTATTGTTTGAGACAGAGTCTCACTAAATTGCCCAGGTTAGCCTTGAACTTTCCATCCTACTGACTCATTTTCCTGAGTAGCTGGGATTATAGGAGTACACTGTCGTCAGGCTCAGCATCTTCAGTCAGTTTTAAAAAATCCTTTATGGATGAATATGCCTATACCCTCTAACTAAATTGTTAGTCCAGGAGTTAAAGGGCAGGGGTAGGGACTACAGAATTTTTTTTAAAAGGTGTTTCATTCACTATATTTATTTATTTTTGTATAAAAACCCTCTGTGGTAGCCACAGCTAGAGCCTGGGTCCTCTGAACAAATTGTGGTATAAGTTTTCTCAAGATGGTGAATTGAATTCCTGATAGGGAGACTTGGTGAACACAGTCTCTTCCCAGAGATGGGAGGTCAAATAGTTGTATGTCTTGGAGATGGCATCAAAGGTGGCCTTGGCGAAATTGCCCAAGGTGGCAGTGCAGCCCCTAGCCAAAGTGTGGCAAGCAACTACAGAATTTTTTAGTGGGGGTGGGGAGTGGGGTGGGGGTGGGTAGGTATTGGGGATTGAACCCAGAAGCACTCTACAACCGAGCTACATCCCAGTTCATTTTTTTTTTTTTTTTTTTTAATTTGAGACAGGGTCTTACTAAGTCGCTTAGGGCCTTGCTAAATTGCTGAGGCTGGCCTTAAACTTGGGATCCTACTGCCTCAGCCTCTGGTGTCAATGGGATTACAGACTCACCACCACTCCCGGCAATTTTATTTTACTTTCCTTATGGGAAATCAAATCCAGGGCCTTGTGCATGTGAGGCAAGCTACATCTCCAGCCCTAAGTAGGCTTTATCATTACATATTTTTTTTTCTTTTTTTGCGGTGCTTTTATTTAAATAAAATAAAGGTATCGCAAACCAAGATTTCTCTTGGTTCAGCCCGAGTGTTGAACCCAGGGCCTCACACTTGTTAGCAGAATAATAAATTAGATCAATTAAGCAAAGACCCTTTAGGATTAAGACTTCCTACCTCCCTTACAGCTCTCTTCGCTTCTATCAAAATGCTAAAGACAGACAGCATGTCCTATAAATGAAGTGCAGATGTTTCCAAGGCCTAGGAGGGAAAGTTACAGGGTTTTATTGTTTTGCTTTACTTTTTTTTTTTAAGAGAGAGAATTTTTTAATAATTATTTTTTTTAGTTTTCGGTGGACAGAACATCTTTTTTTATATTAGTTTTAGGTGGACACAATATCTTTATTTTCTTTTATGTGGTGCTGAGGATTGAACCCAGTGCCTCACGCATGCCAGGCGAGCGCGCTACCGCTTGAACCACATCCTTAGTCCTTGCTTTACTTTTTAGAGAAGCAGTCACAACAAGGCAGAGTGTTGAGCTGTCAGATTTTGATACATCCAGATGAGGGCGTGGATGCCTGGCTATTAAGTCTTTGCCCTCCAATAGCTGGTGCGGGGGATGTTGTTCATTTGCCCCAGATGTTGCCTTGTGTTCTCCTGCTCAAGCGCCTCGTCTCTGCAGGAATGCGTGAAGCTCCCCCAAAGAGAGCCAGATTCCACCCAGTCACTCCAGACTGGCACCCACACAAGCCCACAGTTCCTGTATGGAATTACTCGTAGGGAATTATAGTCCGGGAGGCAGAACCGCGCAGTGTGTCCCGAATGGTATTTCAGCTTTGACATTAAGTGCTAGTCACAAGCCTCCTGCCCCTGCATCCCGCGCGTCTACGGAATCTCTGAAGAACGTGTCTTGGAGAGGGGAAAGGGGTCCACTAAAGCTGTTGTAGAGTCCCTGACAGAGAGGGCTTGAGCCTGGGCTGGAGAGCCATTTGCTTCGCAGGAAGAGGCAGGGACCCGCAGGACTTTGGAACCTGTACCAGGAGGTGCTCTAAGAAGAGGGCGCAGGGTCAACGCGCGCTCTCGACGCCACGGCCGCCGTAGCCAGTCGAGTCCGCCCAGACACCACCGCCTCCCAGCCGCGGGAGCGCTCCACACCACGCTCCCGGTTCGTCGCGGGCGGACTGCTCGGCGGAAGCAGCTGGTGGGACCCAGGATCTAAGTCCCTGGCTCGGATTGCAAGAGCAGGGAGAACCGCCGAGCCCCGGGCGCGTCACCACTGCCCGCCCCTGATTGGCCAGCCGCCCTGGCCCGGCACCAGAGGATTGGCGCCGCCAGTGGCCAGAGCCGGAGTAACTGGATTCGGGGCAGTGGGGTCGCAGTCCCAACGCAAGAGCCTGGCTTCTGCGCCGTGTCCAGAGCTGCGAGTGGGATCTGGTCGTGAGGCGTGCATCATGCCTTATGTGCTCATCAGCACCCAGATCCGCATGGTGAGTACCACCGCCTGGCGGCTCGCGGCGGTAGAGACCGCGGCTGCCCCTTCCTGCCTCTATCCTAGTAGCGCGGTCGGGGGCTGAACTTGATAACCTGCCCGACAAGCCCCCGCGATTGCCAGGAGTGGGAACTGGGGAAGCGGGCTCTGCCGTACCCCGGATGCGGGAAGCTCTACCAGCCCCGAGTGCCACGGCCGCGGAGGAGCCCGAGTGCCTGTGTCCCCGTGACAGGGCGGGCTTGTCCTCCCTGTCCATGGAGGTGCCAGGTAGCCCTGGCCTCACACGTGCTGCATCCAACACTCTATACTGGGCCGTTTTGCAGAAATGAAATGGAATAATCCGTGGAAGGAGGTTTGGGAAAGAAAAGGACGTGCTAAGGCGCTAAACCCCATATGCCAAGTCCCTGGCCCGTACGCTACACCCTTATGCCCTTTTAGGAAGAGTTAGCCCTGAAGGGAAAGAAGAACGTCCTGCTTGTGAAGAAGGAAGGAGAGGTGCACTTAGGGTAGCGTTGGGGAGAAGGCTGTCCAGGAGCCAGAAGGCATGACCCCTTCTCTTGGTTCAGTTTGCTAAGCTTGAAAAAGAAGGTGCTGATTGCCCTGGAAGCCCCCTTTTAGCTTCAGAGTAGTATGACTGGGACTGCAGCTGGACGACAGGGTGCTCCTCTCTCCCTTCCCACTCCCACTTCCTTCCCACTCCCACTTCCCCAGGCTCAAGCGATCAAGCAGAGGGTACCCAGTTCCCTTGAGATGAAGGAAAGAGAGGGTGGGTTCACCGCGTAACAGTAGAGGTCTTGCTGTGCACCAGGGCAGCAGTTATTGGATCACCTACATAGTTGTTTAAATGTGAATTCCTGGGTCCCCTTTCCAGTCTTTCTTTGTGGGTTTGGGGGAATGTTCTGATGATTCTTTTTTATTATTATTATTGGGTGGACACTGTGGTGCTGAGGATCAAACCCAGGGCCTCATGCATGCCAGGCGAGTGCACTACCACTTGAGCCACATCCCCAGCCCAGATGATTCTTCTTCATATGTCTTTTTTAGCTAGGCACGGTGGCCATGGCTGAGGATCATAGGTTCAAGACCAGCCTCAGCAACTTATAGCAAGACCCTGTCTCAAAAAATAAACATGTTGGGCTGGGGTTGTGGTTCAGTGGTAGAATGTTTGCTTCCCACTCATGAACCACGGGTTCGATCCTCAGCACCACATAAAAACAAATAAATAAAAATAAAGATATTGTGTCCAACTACAATTAAATTTTTTTAAAATAAAATAAAAACGTATTAGAAATGTGCACTGGGGAGTGCTGGGGCTCAGTGGTAGAGCACTTGCCTGGCACATGTGAGGCACTGGGTTTGATCCTTGGCACCACATAAAAATAAACAAATAAGATAAAGACATTCTGTCTAATCTACAACTTCAAAAATTTTTTTAAAAATGTATGGGAAATGTGGCCCAGTAATAGAGCACACCTGGAATCAATCCCCAGCTCTCCCCACCAAAAAAAGGTTGGGGGGACTGGAACTTTAACTCAATGCTAGAGCTCTTGACTAATATGTGAGTCAATACTATAAAAAATACACATATAGGGGCTGGGGTTGTGGCTCAGCAGTAGAGTGCTCGCCTGGCACGTGTGAGGCCCTGGGTTCGATCCTGAGCACCACATAAAAATAAGTAAATAAAATAAAGGTATTAAAAAAAACAACACTTATGGGGCTTGGATTGTGGCTCAGCGGTAGAGCGCTTGCCTGGCATGGGTGGGACCCAGGTTTGATCCTCAGCACCACATAAAAATAAAGGCATTGTGTTGTGTCAATTTACACCTAAAAATATAATAAATATTTTAAAAAAACACATAAGAGTTGGGGGTTGTGGCTCAGTGGTAGCGCTCATGCCTAGCATGCGCGAGGCACTGGGTTCAATTCTCAGCACCACATACAAATAAATAAAATAAAGATCCATCAACAACTAAAAAATATTTGAAAAACTCACATACATCTTTATTGATATTAAATACACGTACCAAAAGAATTAACTAGTTTAAAGTGTACAATTCAGTGCCTCTTTTAGCATATTCAATGTTGCACAAACATCACTATAATCAATTTTGGAACATTTCTAACACCCTTCTCCCCAAAGAAACCCTGTATCCAGTCCTTTCTCCCAACTCCCTCAGCACTAAGTAACCACTAACCTACTTTCTGTCACTCCATGTGGTCTCCTGGGTCTGACTTCTTTCACTTACATGTTTTCAAGTTTCATCCATATTGTGGCATGCATCAGTGTGTTCTTATTTTTTATTGCCAAAAAAGATTCCACTGTTAGACTGTACTACATGTTGTTTATTCAAAGGTTGACTGACATTTAGGATGTTTCCACTTTTTTGGATATTAACACTGAATATTTGTGTGCATTTGTTCAAAAACATTTGTTTTTTAACTCAGGAAGTTTACCTGCCTGTGTACAAATTTTTGTGTGGACATGTGTTTTCATTTCTCTCATTTTCCAGGTAATTCTAGTACACACAAATGTGGGAGATGGTGCCTGGCATAAGGTATTAATAGTCACACAATGCCCAGTTCCACTTAGAAGGGTCAGGGAGGCCCCACATTGTTGGCCTGAGTGTTGAAGGGCTCCATCCTTCCCAGCTTATAGTGAGCCTCCAAGGATCCTCACTACCACCTTCATTCACTTTTACCTGAAGCTTGCTCAGGGGCAGCAGGCAGGGAAGGAAGAAAGTGAAACCTCCCACCTCTACCAGCAGCCAAAGCAGCTGGCCAAGCCACTGTGGCTTACTTTGCAGGAGGTGGGCCCCACCATGGTGGGCGATGAACACTCAGATCCAGAGCTGATGCAGCATCTGGGGGCCTCAAAGAGAAGTGTCCTGGGAAACAACTTGTAAGTAGTGACATCCCTTAGTACCTTCTATCTGGAATCCCCTAGTTCTGCCCCTGTTCCCTTTGCCCAGCCACCAAGTCCAAAGGCAATGTCCAGCTTGGGCCCTCTTACCTGCATCGGGGGACTCTGTCCTCTGTAGGGTTGGTCCTGCCCACAGCTCTCCCCCCAGCTCCTTTACAGTGCCCCAGAGGCTCGCTCAGAAAGCTTTCCCTCTGGCCTTTCTTCATAAGGTAGTTCATCCTGAATGGAAGCCCAGGGCAGTCTATTCTCTGGGTCTAGGACTCCATGAGTGGACTGTTCCTTGCCCTGACCTCTCAGCTCTAAGCTGGATCCCATCAAGCAAAGACAGGAAAGAAAGGTTTCTGAATGGTGAGTGACAAAGCTCAGCCCTAGAAATGCCTGGGTCCTCCTTTCAGCTTAGCTGCTGTCAGGGCACTTTTTGGGCATCCTTCACACTATCTCCATATCTAAACCACTTTTAGACCACATCTAGACCACTTTTCTGCTCCTCACCCTTCCTACCCAGGAGTAGGGGAGGACCCTGGCCACACAGACTCAAGAATATTAAAAAAAGTTGCCAAAGTGAGTCCAGTTCAAAGAAGGAGAGAGAACTGATCCCAGCCCCTTCAGTCAGGATAGGAATGCGAAAACCACCCCCATCCTTTCGCCATAAGGCATTTGCCTGGAGATGCCCAGCTTGGGGCTGAAGCCGCTTATCTGCTTCATGGCCTTTCAGCACCAATTAAACCTAAAAGAAGGGAAACCAAGCATTCTCCATGTCAGATAGTAGCATGCACAGCCAGGACCGCAGGACCACCAGGAACGACCCAGAGGCTGGGCAAGGAGTGAGGCCTAAAAGAGCAGGTGACTCTTCCTGAACAGTGGGGCACTCAGGGGACATGTGGCTATTGCCAGACTAACTGGGTCTCCTATCTATGACAATGGGAAAACTAGTCAGCCCCTCTTGGTTTTCTCACATGTAATAAGAACAATAATAGTACCTTCGTTAGGTTGTTAGGAGGAATAAATTTAAGACATGTAAAGTGCTTCATAGAAGAGGGGATGGGAATGTGCACATAGCCCGGCAGCCAGGAAGTGCCCAGTAAATGTCACTTTGAAGAGAGCTCCTTGTCAGGCCTGACCCTCAGCAGATACTAGCTTTGTGTAGAGCTTTGTCTATGTTCCCTCATGCCGCCACTCTGGTCTCTTTGCAGTTACGAGTACTACGTCAACGACCCTCCTCGCATAGTCCTGGACAAGCTGGAACGCAAGGGCTTCCGGGTGTTGAGCATGACAGGGGTGGGCCAGACACTGGTGTGGTGCCTGCACAAGGAGTGACCTTCTCCTGATTGCAGAAGGGGCACTCCTCCTTTGGAGGGTCTGCCATGGGCCCTGCCCCCATACTGTCCCACTGACTGCCTCTCTTCCCAAATTGTTTCCTTCTCCAGTTTGGCACCAATGAGCACTGAACTGCCTCTGAAATCCTGCTCCAGTCAATGGGGAACAGGCCCCTTGCCCCAGTGCTCCCAGCTGTCCTCTGGCTGCAGCCGACCCTTGCAGTAGGCTGGGTTCTGGGGGCAGGTGTCCACTGCAGCTGGTCATTCCAGTGGAGGATGCCCTGGGACCTGGACAGACAGGTCCTGAGCAGCTAGTCCAAGCCAATAAATGGCTTTGATGAGTGGTTGCTACTGTACTTTGCTTATGCAGTTACTGTCGCTGCAGATCTATCCCTGCCCAGAAAGGGAGCCTGAGCCTGGGTGCAACCATCTGAGGTAGAGCCCAGATGGAGTAGAGATAGACTTAAAAAAAAATGTAGTTTATTGGTGCATGTAACATGGAAAGGGCTGTGGGGTGGGAAGTTTGGAGCTGGGGGCTATGTGGGCTGCCCCTCTTCCTCCTGCTGCATCTGGGCAATCAGCTGTTGGCGCTCAGCTGCCTGGCGAAGGCGCATCATGACAAGGCTCTCGTAGTCCCTCTCCGACAGCACTGAGCCCTGGAGAACAGAGGAGACAGGGAGTGGTCAGGGCCAGCAGGGCACTGCCCCCACAGACTATAGACTGAAGGGGCCTAGACAGAGCTGCACTTTTAAGGGTCAAGAAGGGAAGGACCTCAGAACATCCTTCTGGAATATCTACTCATCCATGTTCCTTCAGAATGTTGCTGGCTTTGTGCTCTAGACTGGCCTCTCAGCTGGCTCCCATTTGGCCCATCTAGACCATTATCTCCTGCCAGCCTCTCTTTAACCAGCTCCATCCATCTGCAGTCAGCTCTGTGCACTCTTTCCAGTGAATCACTTCCCCATTCTCTCACCAGGCCCTGTCTCCATTTCCTCTCAGCCTTTATCTGCCACTCCTTCCCTTTACCCCATGGCTTCTGCCTCACACAAGTTCCAATGAAGGAAGCTGCCCCAAGTGCAGGGATCTACCTGGCTATGCTGAGAACAGACCAAAGCTGCCTCCAGCCAGTTGCCTGGCTTCCCTATGGTAGGCTCCTGCTGAGGACACAGGAGAAGGGAGCCCTGCCCTCCACACAGCCTCAAACAACCCCACTATGGAAGTGAGCACGAGACCATTTGCTGCCTAAATATACACAGCAGGGCTGAAGGGCAGGGCCTGTGGCCTGCTTTTATGATTTTGCTAGCACTGTACAGGGGATTAAGGAGGGCTATATTTTAATAACCAAAAGAATAATAAACAACCACCTCAGTGGGTTGAGGCTGCGGGTGGAGAGGCAGTGCTATAGCAGAGCCCTGAGCTGTCAGCCCCAGGTCCTGATAAGGTCTGCAATATGAATTAGAATTAGATCATTTCCTCCCTCAGTGCAGCCAAAGCTGAGAGACCATTCAGTACTCCACTAGCTGCTTAGAGAAGTGTGAAGCCCACCTAAACTAACACAGAGACAAAGGGTTGCAAATGAGGTGTCCTATCCATGCCAGAAAGCTGTAGAGCCCTGTTCTGGGGTTCTCCACACTGGTGCCCTCACATGGAATAGACCAGGAGGAAAGTATGGTGGTCAGTGACCCGAGGATAAGGAGGGAGTGGCTGGAGTTAAGCTGCCTGGCCCTGATCAGCTGGTGTGGAGTGAGGGGTGTCATGTCAGAGAAATATTCTGCCCTGTCCCCCTCCCACTGCCCTAGGAGAGTCTCCATCCCAGCCAAACCCCTGGGGCACTGCTGACAATTTCTAGCAGTCGCACTTGACCCAGCCCCCTCCACAGAAGAGGGGTCACAAATAAGGTCCAGTGGCTAGAGGGGAAGGACAGGAGAGGAAGGAGAGAGCAGCACACCCTGACCCTCAACTGATCTCCTCCTGCCAGGAGGGAGGAGTAGGAAACTAAGCGGCCAGACAGGATGTCAGGCCATGGGAAGGGCAACGCTCCCCTCCCCAAGTTAATGTTGCTCTGCCAAGAAAACCCAGAGTCACCCTTGGCATGCCCTGGGCCCAGCCATGGGAGGAGCCGAGCCCTTTATAGGCATGGGGCTGTTCCCCGTTAACACACCCTCTGCTTCCTTCCCCCCATTCCTGCAGGCTCTGCTAATGAGGGCCTGTCACCAGGCCCCAGGGCTGAGTCACCCACACCAGCAACAGGTCGACAGGTCTCTCTTCCTTCCCCAGCAGCTGTTCCACGGGCCTGCCTTTCAATTAACGCCCACCTCCCTTGGCTCCTCCCAGACACATTGGGGGCTGGGGAGCCAGGTGTGCAAGCTGGGGCCAGGGTGGTGGAGCTGTGATGAGAAAGGAAGCAGTATGGTGACACATAATGCAGGGCTGCCCCCAGACCAGTCCCCAGAAGAATCTTAAGCTTCCCATTGCCCTGGGGTGTTGGTCACAGCTGCTCCAATCCCTGCCTGCGGATGCTGCAATTACCTAAGAGCATGAAACCGGCTTCCCACCTGACTGAGTCAGCTGAAAACAAAACACATCTCCACTGCCACACACTGGCACAAACAGCCAAGCCACTAATCAGAGTCCCGCAGCCGCTGGTGAGAGGGCAAACGCTGCACTGGCCTAGAGAAGGGTGCAAAAGCCCTCAGGAGTCGATGAAAGGATGAGTTGGGGCCCATCTGCCTCCTGTGGAAGGAGCACACAGCTGCCCTCGCCCAGCTGAGAAGATTCATCTCTGCCACCGCCACGGGAGCTGCCCTCACTCTGGTTCTGTAAGTGCTGTTTCTTCCTCTGGGTTTTTTTCCATTGCCCTATCAAGTAACCAGGCCACTCCTGTCCCTGTGGGAACTCTTGCTACCAGGAACTCCCAGCTCTCTGCTTTCTTGGACAAAAAGTGCCCTCTTCCTGGTCTCATCTCACCATCCAAGATGCTGACCAAAAAGCTAGGGCCTGTTTCCAGCCCACTAGGGCCGACTCCCTGATTCTTGGCATTCGCTGTTCCAGCAGGGACTAAATGGTCACTAGCTGCTCTTGAACACCTGTTTGCTGGCTTCTGAGGTGCCAGACTATCTACTGGTCCCCCAGAGCCCATGGAGACCTGGAGAAAAGGTTCCTTCCGCAATGCCTCCTTCTTCAAGCGGCTGACTCTGGGACGGCCGAGGCGACTCCGGCGACAGGGCAGTGTGCTTAGCCAGGCCAGCACTGCTGGTGGTGACCATGAGGAGTACAGCAACAGAGAGGTTATCCGGGAACTTCAAGGGAGGCCAGATGGACGGCGTCTGCCCCTGTGGGGGGATGAGCAGCCCCGGGCCACTCTGCTGGCACCACCCAAGCCCCCACGCCTCTACCGAGAAAGCTCCAGCTGTCCGAACATCCTGGAGCCCCCAGCCACCTACACGGCTGCCTACTCGGCCACCCTGCCCTCAGCGCTGTCCCTGGCCAGCACCTTCCACCAGTCCTCAGAGGAGGACCTTTCAGACACTGCCACCTTCCAGAAGACACCAGCTCCAGACCTCTGTGATCCCTTCTTCTCCTTCAAAGTGGATTTGGGGATTTCACTTCTTGAAGAAGTCCTACAGATGCTGAGGGAGCAATTTCCTAGTGAGCCTAGCTTTTGAGTAGGGTGAGGGTAGGCAGAGCTGGGGTGACTGGGGTGGGGGGGCAGAGCCTGGGAACCCAGGGAAGGACAGTACAGTTGTGAATTAAAGAAAACGAAACTGGGGCTTTGCCTGCCCTCTGGGTTCTCAACATACCTTCAAGTCCCCCCAGAGTGGAGGGACAAAGACCAGCTGGGATTGTTGGAGGGTCACTTTCTAGTAAGAGCCCTAGAGGAAGCTGGTGAGGACAGGAAAGAGAGGCCACACCCTGCAACCACAGGAACCAGGCAGAGGACAGACAAGTGACAGGGTGGCAAAGGGGTGAGTTAGGGTGTGGGAGGACACAGACTAGGCAGAACAGACAGTATCCTGAACCAGCCTCCTCTGAAGCCACCATCAACAGAGAGGTCACAGGACATGTTTAGTCAAAAATGATCCAACCCAGACTAAAAAGGAAATTGGGGAGACCTGAGAGAAAAATGGAGACAGGCTTGCCTTTGTCCAATATGTCGATACTCACTACATGTAGCTATTTAAAATTAAATCAATTGAAATAAAATAAAATTGCAAATTCAATTTGCATTAATCACATTTCAAATGCTCAACAACCACTTTGATTAGTGACTACCATACTGGACAGCACAGCATGAATCCTAACATCACTTGACCAAGGTTCACTGGACGTGCTTGCTGAATGGTAGCCTAGAACCCTCAGTGGCATGAGTGGGGGAAGGGAGATGCATTCAGGGGCTGCAATGACAAGAAGGGGCTACAGAGCAGGAAAGGTAGGTACAGATACTGAGCAAAATATGAGAAAAAGGCCAAACAAATCATTAGCAGATAAAAGAACATGAGAGATTCAGCCTGCCAAAACAGCTGCCCAGAGCAATCCCTGCTGCCCAGAGAAGTACTCCAAGAGATGCCAGCCAAAGGCACAGGTACAGCTTGCAAAGAGGTGCTGTGGGAACTTTCAGGACAATCAGTGATGGGAAACTTTGGGAAATGCTACAAAAATAGTGGCGGATCTCCTTTCTATAAAAGGAAAGCTGGACCAGAAGAGGGATACTAAACCACGGAGGGACACCACTGGACTCCCGGATCCTCCACGACTGAGAGCTCTGGCTGGCCCAAACCTGACAATGGGGCTACCAACCAGGCCAAGGCCATCAGCTGAGCTACTGCCCTGCCCTGTGTCCTGGCCAGAGTCCAGCAGCACTCAGCTGGACCATGTGGTCTGATCTGCAGGTCTTTCCAAATGTGGCAGAGAGGCAGAGAGAAACTGGGACACATACTGCCTCTATAACCCAAATCTGGGGCCTCCTTTTTTTCTTCTTTTTGTGCAGAGATGCCAAGCTGAAAGGCACCTCTGTAACAGAGATAAGAATAAAGTTCTTTCTGATACAATCTATGGAGTTACCTGGGACTATGAAATCCTGAGACTTAAAGGCAGGGAATGAGGTCTCTCTCTCTCTCTCTCTCTCTCTCTCTCTCGTACTGGAGATTGAACCCAGAGGTGCTATACCACGAAGTCACATCCCTGGCTCTTTTTATTTTTTAATTTGAGACAGGCTCTCACTAAAGTAGCTTCGGGCCTCACTAAGTTGCTGAGACTGGCCTCCAACTTGAGATCCTCCTACCTCAGCCTCTCAAATCGCTGGAATTATAGGACTGTACCACTATACCTGGCAAAGAGGTCTCTTTTTTTTTTAATATTTTTTAATTTCAATAGACCTTTACTTTATTTATTTATATGCAGTGCTGAGAATCGAACCCAGGGCCTCACACGTTAGGCAAGCACTATACCACTAAGCCACAACCTCAGCCCCAATGAGGTCTCTTTTAAATCAGGGTCTTGAGTTGAGCTCAGACCACTTCATGTTCCTCCTCTGTCCAATTCTGGAAGACATACCCATAAAATTTCTAGTCCCTCAGAGAGAAAGGGAGAAAAGTGAGCAGAACTCCTGCTAACCTATTGAGGAGCTATGGACACACCAAAAAAGCACCAAGATCACTTCAGAAAAGGTAAAAGCCAGGCTGCTAGACCTTGTCCCCAAAACAATCTGTCCCATCATGTGGGGGCAGTTGTGCCCAGAAAGCCTACAAACCCAGGCACTGCAACTAGATTAGAAAACACGAGAGCCACAGAGGTGGGGTAAACACAAGGCTTCATGGAGCCGTGAGGTCTAGCCGCCAGCACTGGACTAGCATCTGTTGGAAGGTGTACATTTTACCACAAGTGGGGGCACCCCAGGGTCAGCAGAGGGCCAGTGTTATTTTAGAGGAGACGCTGCTTCTTCACAGTTGGCCCCTGACTAGGGAGTCAAAGATGCTTAGAAAACAGACGAACTGGGGAAGAACACAGCTATCCTAGTCACTAGCCACTTCCTTGTAGCACTGGGTCATCTAAGCTCCAAATGCTTCAAACCACAACCAAGCAACCTGTGTGCCCTCTGGGTGAGGATTAGAGCCCCAGAAGAAGACAGATGTGGAAGGAAAGCAAGATCCAAGGATTCTGTGTTGGGCTGGGCGTGTTGCTCATTGGTAGAGTGTAGTGTACATATATGAAGGGCCTGGGTTTGATCCCCACACCACAGAGAGGAAAAGGCGTCAATAGTGAGTGACAGCTCTCCAGTGAGATTGAACCTCCCAGTCTCACTTTACTTCTGCCAATCTGAACTTGGAAGGAAAGGTCCTGAGAAGAGCACAAATAAGAAGAGGTCCCTGAGCCCTGATCAGGCCCAGCTGGGTGAGGCCTGGCTCTTTACCTTTGATAGTCCTGGAGGACTGGGGTCCACCATGCCCTGGGGTTGTCCCTCCAACCAGGAAATCTTCAGAGGGTTATCCACCAGGCCCACTTCATTCTGGACAGCCAGCTCCTGCCAAACAGAGACCCAGTCCTCATCTCATCCATCAAGTTAGCCATTAAACTGGTTCTCTCTATTCCCCAGAAAGAACAGAACCAGCATTCTAGTCCCACAAACAATGATGGCAACCTCAACTACCATAAATGATAGTGTACTAAAACTCTGACCCTTCTCATGGGAAAAGTGGTGGGGATCAATCTTCTGCTTTGAGGGAGTAAGGAGAAGGAGTGGGAAGGAATTCTGGGGCTCAAATCCTGGAGGGGTGCAGGGTGGAGGGTGTGCAGCCAGCTGGCATGAAATTAAAAGAGCATTCACCCTAGGATTTGGGGGGGTCTAGGCTCTGGGATGGCCTAGCAGTCACTTGGAAGTATGGATTACCAACTTGGAGGGCCCATAAAAGTGGGTCCCTGTCCTAGAATGATAGGGACACCAGTGGTCCCCAAGTCCCCTGCAGGACTCACCGCAGCCTTGACAGTTGCAAACTCCACTATGGCAGTGCCTACTTTCTTACTTGAAAGCACCAGGTTGAGAACTTCACCATACTGTGGAGACAAGAGTGTCTAGTAAGCATGACTGGGCTGCTGGCCATGCCTAGCACGTGCCAGAGACCAGCCTGGGCTGCCCTGAGGCCCACTAGGGCATTGTTAGCATGAGGATAACTTCTTATTGCTAGAGGCCCAGAGAAGTGAGATCAGAGATGAGAAAGAAATAAAGTTTTTTTCAGGACTGAAGGACAACAAAGGAGATGAGCAAAGGACTAAGGACAGAGGCTGGAATAATGGCATAGTTGCCTCAGCTAGTTGAAGGCAGTCATGAGGATAGGGTTTTCATGCCAGAAATGCCTCCCTCTCTCCCAGCACACTCAGCCAAGCCCATGCTTCCAAGGTAAGGGCTAGATGGGTAATGAAGGAGAGACCTGGCTGGAGTGGGCACATAGCAACCCAAGGGATAGGAAGATCATAGATTGGAGAAAAGTCTTTAGGCTGTCCCATGGTCAGCCTAAACAAGAAATAAGAATAACAAAAAGCAGAGATGTTCAGGGGCATAAAAAATCCTGGGGTGTAGGATAAGCTATGTGCTGAATGACAGGAAGGGAGAAAGTCAGCAGGGTATACCTTTTGCAAGAGATGCAGGAGGACATCTTTGGAGTAGCCACCCTGGGACTCATCCTCCTTCTTGCACTTCCATTTTAGCTAAAAAGATAGATCAATAAAGATTGATCTTTGGCTGAACAAAACCAAACTCACAACTGAGCTGGACAGTCTGAGCAGATGCCTTGCTCATTTTTAAGCACCACCAAAAATATGTTTTCCTGGTGAAAACAGAGGCAGGGTGGCCTGCTCACCCTTAGCAATGCTTCCCACCCTGTAAGTCACTCTCTTTAGAGGGCTTGGGAATGCTCTACCCTGCAATCATCAGGTCTGAGAGCTGCCTTCCATGGCAAGCTCTGAGGGCAGTCCTGCTTTCCAGGAGGCTGAAGGATGGAAAGGATGTGGCAGTTGTGGTGGTGACCTTAGAGACCAAATATCCCTGACGGACCACTAAAACCACATAAACCATCTGTTCTTGTGAGGATTAGGTGCTATGGGGTAGCCCACAGATCCCGCCCAGGCTCACCTTTAGTTTGGGAGTTCCTCTGCATTCAGTACTTTCTACCTTTCCTAGAAATATTGGGAAAAGAGGAAGATAAAATATGAGGTTCTTCCAGAGGTGAGGCAGCCAAAAGCCAGAGGACCTAGAAAAGGTTATTTCTGACCAAGGGCAGTATCTGCCCTACCCTACCTAATGAGGGCCTGGTGGGGACATTGCATATCATCCAACCCCATCCCCAGGGTGGCCTACTTGGCTACCTCCCAAGGGTCATCTGTTAACTCTTTCCAAATGAAGAGTCGGGAGCACCTGCTGGGGGCAGGAAGCAGAGACAAAGACCACATAGTTCCACTGAAGCAAAGTCCCCCAGGGCCCTTCCTCTGCGTGGGACTAATACTAATGTGGCAGGAGATCCCAAGGGGAGTAAAAAACGTTCCCCAAGAACTGGTATGTTAGAATACGGTGCCATGGGTTCTAGGAAGTGGAAGCCTCCACAGCCATTTGCTCTGGGCAAGGGGGAGCTGCCCTTAAGGAGAGACAGGAGAGGGTGGTGTTCTCACCTCTCAACCTCTGCTCACGGTCCTGACGTATCTGCTCCTGGATCAGCTTTTGTTGCTCTTCCAGCTGTCGGGAACCCTCTTCTCGTAGGCGTGCAATCTACAGAGCAGGGGGCGGAGGGGGAACAATTCTGTGCAGACCCAATTTCAGGTTGATTCACCTTGTAAAGGTCCCACCTGCACGCTAGGGCTCAGCAACCTGTGGGTGGAACAAATCACCCATCTCCCACAGAAGAACGTGGGAAGAGCAAGCCTCCCTACCACAATAGTCATCCAAATCCTTCCTCTCCCCACTCCTCCTGCAGCAGATGGCCCACAGGCTTACCTCTTGTTCTAGCGTCCTGGTGTTCTGGCTCTCTTCCTCCTCCTCACTCCCCCGGGCCTGGGCCTGCTGCTCCCGAGCCTCCAGGTCTAGGCACAAGGGTTGAATGACCCAATCACTGGTCTGCAGTTTCTGCACTGACTCAGATCACCCTAGCTCTGGCTGATAAGACCACACAGTAATTCCTGCCCCCTCCTACCATGCCCATTTGCTCCCAAGTTACTTTCCACTAAGAAAGTCATAGCACAGAAGGGGTATGGGATCCAGTCAAGTGACCACGGTCTGGAAGAATTAAAACAGTTTACATCAATTGAGCTGGTCCTCTCCAGGCAGTGAAAAGGGTACAGGTGGGCACTTATGTCAGCAGCTCAGGACCTTGAGTCAGAGATGCCTTTGGATAGAGTTTCTGGCCTCTATTTATGTGGTTTGGCACCACAGCCAGGACTTTGCCTTGGCTTTGATTCATTTCCCACCACTGAATTCAATTTCTCATTGTCTCCCTTACCTCCCGCTTGAATCACCTTTACCAAGCCTTACTTGTAGACCTGGTAAAGTGGCTCTTCCAGGGATGGGCAGATTGGTGGAGGATACTTCAGATCCTGGAGCCCTCCTGCCTCTCAAGAGAAACTTGCTTGTGGTCCTGTGTCAGGCCAGATGCCATGACAAACCATTCTTTCAGGTCTAGAAGTTACAGCTTTCCTTTTTACATACTTACTTACATAGGATCTCTTTTTATTTTATTTTTGCAGTGCTGGGAAATCAAAATCATATACTAGGCAAGTACTCAACCACTGAGTTATACACTCCCCCATTTTTATAAATTTTTCCCACTGGGGATTGAACCCAGGGGTGATTTGCCACTGAGCTACATCCCCAGTCCTTTTCATTTTTTGAGACATTTTTTAAGTTGCTTAGGGCCTCACTAAATTGCTGAGGCTGGCTTTGAACTTGTGATTTTTCTGTCTTAGCCTCTCAAGTTGCTGGAATTACAGGCATGTGCCACCTTGCCTCGTTCCATCTTTTTTTTTTTTTTTTGGTAGAGAAATGGATGTACCCGGAGCTGGAAACAGTGGAATATGCCTTTTGAGGCAGGAGGATCACAAGTTAGAGGCTAGCCTGGGCAATTTAGCAAGACCCTGTCTCAAAACAATAAAAGAAGGTATGGAAGATAGTTCAGTGGTAGAGTGCCCCCCCAATTCAATACTAATATCAGAGGGGGAAAAAAAACAACAACACTGAATATGCAAAATCTAAGAAGGGAATAAGACTGAGAACAGAATGTCTAAACCAATCTTCTTGGGTTGATGAAAATGTTCTAAAATTGATTTTTAGTCATAGTGGCAAAATCTGGTAAATTTAATAAAAATCATTGAATCATATAGTTGAACTGAATCAATATTACAATATGTAAAGAGTACCTCAAAATAAAAGCTGTTCAAAAAACAAAGCTCAGGGCTAGAGATTTAGTTCAGTGGTCGAGTGTGGGGTGGCTCTGAACAGGAGCTGAGTACGCACCCCTCAGCTTTGAGTAATGGGGGTGTGGAACTGGCATCCCACGCAGCACGAAGCAAGCGGGACTTACCTTCGCAGGTAAGGAAGTACAGCTCTGGGATTGGGCATCACCCAATGAGACTGGGCTACAGCCCCCTGTTTGTTGCCTTATTTGGGTGGAATATTCTATCAAATGTCTTTCCCCTAATAAAAACAGGATTTCGGGGTACGCTCACTCTCTTGCCTCTTGCCTTCCTTGCTCCCCTTGCCCTTTAGCATGGGAGCTGACACATGAGGTCTCAGAGCCGTCCCTGACCCCCGAAAAAGGTATTTCTGGTTTGTGTGGTCTTTTCGTTGCCAGTGCAGTTCACGCGGAGTGAACCTGACTCATGGCAAGCACAGAAGTGGGAGACAGTAGAGCACTTGCCTAGCATACCTGAGGCCCTGAGTTTGATCACCAACCCAGAAAGGGGAAAAAAAATCAACTAGCCTGGACCGCTTAGAATTCTTCTGAGGGAGCATTTCAGGAGTGAAAGCTCTGGGCAGAGATGAGACTAGAACAAATAAAAAAAAGACCCAACTTACCATGAGAAATAAGAACACTGATTTTACTCATAACTGTATGGGTTTAAATCCCAGCTCCAGCAAGTTTCTAAACTTTAATAGTAAATTTAGTAATTGCTATTATTTCTAAGGGGGTCTTTAGGACCCAACCTCTCAGAACAATTTTGCCCAGAACCTGGACTAAGAGACTTTGCATTGCTGGAAGTGAAGCTCCAGGAAGAAAAGTAAAGAAAGTGAATGAAAATGGTCAAGGAAGTTCCAGGCCCACCCAGCACCGCAAAGTCACCTACCAAGCTTCACTTTCTTCCTTTTCTCATCGAGTTTCTGGGTCCTCTCTGCTGCCTGCTTCTTGGCTTTTCTGACCTTGTCATATGCAGCCTGACAGGAGAAAGGAACACAGAGCAGTGGGTCAGCCAGAAAAAAAGGACAGAGCCCCAGCAATCTCCCTAGCCCCTGCCTCCTAGCCCAGAGTCATCAGGGCAACAAGTAGGAGACTGGCTCTCTGGGGCTTAGACAAGGACTGTGCCCCATGGCAGAGGGCAGAGGATCAAGGCTGAAAGCAGCAGTGGTCTCTAACCAATGGCAACTTTACACATACTTACCCTGGCTGCAGCATCAGTCAGTACTTCCAAGGCCTGAGAGAGCTGGTGGAAGAGTTCAGCTAAATAAGGACCCAGAAAACAGAGTAAAGAAAGTTAGACTTGGCAATGATATGCTCCCTCAAAAAAACACTTTTTAGCCACAGGAGGGCAGAAAAACTAACATCAGCAGATGGCAGACCTGCAAGGAAGAGTGAGTGCATCAGCAACTAACTGGATGCCCTAACGTGAAGCCCAGACCAGGCCATGAGCATCTACACTTCAGAACATTCCCAAGCAGAGCTTAGGACAACACCCAAGTGACTAACTGGGTCTTTTCCTTCCCATGCCCTTGGAGTCTCACCTGCTCTGGGATTATCAGGATTTTTGTCTGGGTGACAGGATAGGGCCTTCTGCCTGTATGCCTTCTTCACCTAGAAGAGTCAGAAGATGTGGTCATCCACTCCTCTCACAGTGACAGAGAAATCTTGATAAAACAATAAAAACCCCATGCCCATCTAAAAGAAAGGCTGCTGGTTCCCTCTTCATAGCCACCATGGAGATGTGCAACTGAGGAGACAAAGGCTATGGAAGGAGCCAGCCACTGCTGCCAGCAGAGGAGCCAGGCCTACTTCCCGCTCAGTGCTGAATCTCACCACTGCTATGTCAAAGGGTCTCCTAAGGAGCAGAAGCACAGTATTCTGGTCTCTATATAACCACCTACAAACAGCTATTCTCTACACAATTTTGGTAGGCATGGAAGCTAGGGCAACCTTTCTGGAGGAAAATTGTGCCAAATTTTAAGATGTACTTTCCCTTTGACCCAGTCCTAGGAATTTGGACTCGTAGAGATATGCCAAAACAAATACACAAGAAGCTTACTGTGACACTGTTTATACTAGGCACCCACTGGAACCAGCCAGATTTTCATCAACAGCGAGACCCATTTAAATCACTACAATAAACTGGATACGGTGGGGCACACCTGCAATCCCAGCTACTGGGGAGGCTGAGGCAGAAGGAGCACAAGTTTGAGGTCAACCTGGGCAACTTAACAAGCCCCTGTCTTAACAAAATAAAAAAATAAAATAGGCTAGAGGTGTGTGGCTCAGTGGTTAAGTGCTCACCTAGCATGCACAAGGCCCTGGATTCAATTCCTAGCATACACACAGAAACATTACAATAGCCAGAGGTCTCTATGTGCTAAGAAAGATCTTTAGAATAAAATGAGTAAAACAAGCAAGGTTCAGAACAGTGTGATTACTTTGGGATTTTAAATTTAAAAACAAATGGGACACAAAGTTACAGATATATTTTTTTTTGTACCAGCGATTAAACTCAGGCATGTGTACTGTTTTATTTCTTTCTCAAGGCAATCATAAGGAACTTTTTTTTTTTTCTGTTATACCACTGGTAAAATTCTTTTTCATTCTTTTAACTTCACTGTGATTCCTAGGAAAATCTTGGAAACTATCAGTAGAAAAGCTATATTACTAAGTATTGGAAGTTTCCAGGAAAGAACACCTAATCAGTTTCCCTGGATGGGAGTCTTCCTGTTCAGTAGTTCCTTGAGGGCTGGTAAAATCCCACCCCCTAAATACTTTCCAATATATTGTTGAAATATTTAAGATTAAGGAAGAATGAACATATTAAAACTAAAATTTTCCAACGGTGACAGAAATGGAGTTGAAGCCTATTGAAACAGTTATTGACCACAATTAGTCAAAAAATAGACATTTGTGCAAGTCTGTCAAACTGTGTTTGTCAAAAATCCTGGGGATGATCCATTTAAAAATATTTTTATTACATTTTTCTTATGAATCAGAGAAATACGCCAGATGGTAGAAATTTCAGAAAAGAGGTCTCTGACATTGACAGATTGAAAGGTGAATGGAGTTTGGAAGACAAGGATTTGGGTATGCAGATCAGAGGAGAGGAACTGAGAAGTACTGGCTTCTTACTTGCCCATTTTGTTTTTTGAAAAGAGACTAGGCAGAGGAAGTGGGAATACAGATTTTTCTCCTTTCAGCAGCCCTGTAATTTAACAGAGCCACAGAAGGCAGTGAGTGTTGAGGTGTGGGCATGATTTCAAAGATATAATCTACTATTGTGCTTCTCAGGAATGAAATGAAGGAGAAACTGAGAACAGTGTCTCCTAGATGCAAAAAGCTGAAATGTAGACCATGTATTCATCCTTGTCACACTTCATTTTTTTTCCCCTCAGAATTGTGGATTTGCTTGTCTTATATGGCTTTTTTAACTTCTAACTTCATTGTCCAGTTGGTTTATTTAATCTCCATCATTAATTCCCTAATTAGCAGGTTTTTCAACCCATTTTATTTTATGAAATCCCTATATTTTTCTTAATCACAAAATGGATTAGGTAGTTTTTTAGTAATAAAAGTTGATATTAATCTGTTGTAACATGGTAGCATGTGGATTAATCAACATTCCATACAGGTAATAGGTAATTAAACAAATAAATTAGTAAGGCAATTTCAGATAGTATAAAGTTCTGTTATGAAATTAGGGAGGGGACTGGAATCATAAGGAACTTAATGATGGTCTCCTTTGGCTAGGATGAAGGTGGAGGGGTAGGAAATATTTACTTTTCATTTTATACCCTTCTGTGGTTCAAACTGTCAAACCTTAAACAGGTCTTTTAACCTCCTTAAACAGGTTTATCATTTTTCAATACCCTTAGTGGGTGATTTATGGTCCTTTTTTTTTTTTATTGTAACAGGGATTGAACTCAGGGCACTTGATCACTGAGCCATTTCACCAGCCCTATTTTGTATTTTATTTAGAGATAGGGTCTCACTGAGTTGCTTAGTGCCTCGTTTTTGCTGAGGCTGGCTTTGAACTCACAATCCTCCTCCCCAGCTACTGGGATTACAGGCGTGTGCCACCATAACCATCTAAAATGGTCCACTTTTAGTTTTCATGTTTGTATTTCTCCATATTAAAAAGAAAAAAAATCCTACTATTTCTCATATTAGAAAAATAAGGAATCATAACTCCCAAGATTCTCTTTCACACATGACCTACCTAGTCATTGTAAGTGAAAGGATAGTAAAAAAAAAATCACAGATTCTGTCCCTGCTTCCTATTGCCTCCACCCCTCACTTTGGCTCTGTACAAACTGTTGCTCAAACTCCTGGAGGAACAGCTAAACAGACTGGCTTTCCAGGCTTCACAGACGAAAGCAATAAGTACTTTTACACCCAAGTGTGCTAAATAAGGACCTTCAGAAGCAGGCATCCAGAATCTGCCATCTTCAGGGAAAGCCTGCTGGGCAGGTGCCTGACTCAACTCCCACCTACAGAGCCAGGCACCAAGTCTATGACCTTTGTAGGTGTGCTGCCACCTGCTGGGCCATGGCCAGTCCCACACCTTCACTAGCCAGGGCAACCCAAGCCTTTCTTTTGGCTCTCCTGACTGAGCTCAGAGACAGGTATGACTCCCTGGACAGGCCTTGAGCCATAAGCAAGCAGATGTGCCTCCCTCCCTGCCTCCCACCTTTCCAATCACCTACCTATGCACACCTGGCCCACCTGCTCACCAATTAGCTCTGTTTTCAGGATTAAAAAATAACAATGAAGCCAGGCATGGGGAAGCATGCCTGTAATCCCACGGGCTCAGGAAACTGAGGCAGGAGGATTGTGAGTTCAAAGCCAGCCTCAGCAACAGTGAGGTACTAAGCAACTCAGTGAGACCCTGTCTCTAAATAAAATACAAAATAGGGCTGGGTCTGTGGCTCCATGGTTGAGAACCCCTGAGTTCAATCTCTAGTACACCACCGCCCCCCCCCCCAAAAAAAAAAAAACAACAAAAAAAAAAACAATGAGCTGGGCACGGTGGCGCACACCTGTAATCCCAGCAGCTCGTGAGGCTGAGACAAAATACAAAATAGGGCTGGGGATGTGACTCAGTGATGGAGTGCCCCTGGGTTCAATCCTTGGTACCAAAAACAAACAAACAAACAAACAAAACAATAATAAGGGAAGGGAAAAGGACAGCTTTCAGGATAGTCTTACTTTTGCAATGTCATCTTTATCGTTTGTCTCTTCTCCCTTTCACTCATTTGGCTCTGTGCTTCCCTCAGCTTCATTTCCTTTTTATTTTAAACCAAACTTTTATTAAATACTTCATTTGCTTTTTTTTTTTTTTGAGGTTCCTAGGTTAATTGGATGGTGGGTTTCTTTCTAACCCTTCCTCTTTTTTTTTTTTTTGTACCAGGGATTGAACTCAGGAGCACTTGACCACTAAGCCACCTCCCCAGCCCTATTTTGTATTTTATTTAGAGACAGGGTCTCACTGAGTTGCTTAGCACCTCGCTATTGCTGAGGCTGGCTTTGAACTCGTGATCCTAGTTTCATCACCAACATAGAAAGGGGGGGAAAAATCAACTAGCCTGGACCTCCAGAGTCGCTGGAATTCCAGGCATGGACCACCGCGCCCTGCTCTAACCCTTCCCCTTGATCACTCCAACACATGGAAGCACCTACACACACTGATAAGAGAGGGATGGGGTTGTTGGCTTACCTCCACCTTTCTCTGACCCCCTTTGCCTTCACTCTAAGATGAGTGAAGGGAGAGACAGGGAGAAGGGGCCATGAGTCTTGGGAGCAGTCTCCCCCATATCTTATGGCCTCAATCTGCAAAACTGCCCGGGGAATAAATTTCCCCATTACCAGGATTAGCAGGTGTGCCCTATGGATAAAGAGAACTTTGTGGAAGATTTTTTTTCCTTTTGTATCATGGGGTTCTTATAAAGTAGTTCATATGCTTTTTTTCTGTAAATTTGGGAGGGAAAGTAGAAGGGAAAGAGAAGCATGAGAAGGATCAGAAAGAAAGCAAGATAAAAAGGGATAGGGTGAGTTGGGTAAAGATAACTCCTTTGTTTCTCTTTTCTATTCTTTTTGAAAAAGTGCTATATGAATTTCATTCCAAAAGAATAATGTTAGGGCTGGGGTTGTGGCTCAGTGGTAGAGCGCTTGCCTATCATGTACGAGGCACTGGATTCAATTCTCAGCATCACATATAAATAAACGAATAAAATAAAAATCCATCAACATCTAAAAGAATTTTTAAAAAAGAATAATATTAAATATTGTTCTGTGTTTTAAAGTTCATTTTAGATATACTATATAAGATAATTAATTGGTTTTTCACTTAAATAGAGAAGCAAAACTGTTCAAACAAAAAAATTATGTAACAATGGAAAGTTAATCTACATATTAATTTACTTCCTTCTCAATTCTCTTTCCAGAATGTGTTTCTTTGACAAATGTCTATAACAGTCTCATGAGATTTTACTTAAGTCAACCAGTACAGTTATATCTAGCTTATCTCACTCCCTACCTAGGTGAACTCTACCCTGTCTCCAGCCTTCCACACAACCAAACACAATTGCCTGGACCCCCATTCCCTC